AGCTTGAACTGTTAGCTTGGTGGAGTACTATCAAAGGATTAACACCATAACAACCTTTAAGAGAAATAATGAACTATTTGTTTATAGGACACTTCTATGCCACTCCAGATACTTCTATGCTGTGTAATGTTTTACTGAATTAACTATTTCAGTGGAAAGTCATAATTCCAGAAAGTAGTTTACTTGCTATAGCAAGGCTGAAATTACTCTGAAGGTTTTTTTTGTCAATTATTCTTGAGAAACAAAAAAATATTTTAAAATAGTGTTTTATTACTGATAAAAATGCAGGTGTCGTTGCTAATGAGATGCACGTGCTTCACTAGTGTTGCTGTAATGTAGTGCTGTGATACAGAAATCTGAGTAAATGAGCTGTATAGTAGGAATCCTCATAGCTTTGTCAGAGAGCTGTCAGCTTCAGCCGTGCTATAGGCTTACTTGGAGTTATGTTTTAATGCTTTTCACTTTAACATTGTTTAGGCTTAACAACAGCCAATGGGGTTTCCAGGAGTTTGCACTCCATGGGTTTATCCTCACAAACAATAAGCCTTTGCATGGTATGTTTGCTTACCAAGAAAAATGTCTTGCAGTGTTATGGTGTAGGCCAAATTACAAACTTTATTCTGAGCTTTTCTTAGAACGTGTGCCCTTGACATTAAAGGATTAGACGTGTCCTTTTTATAGTATTCACCTTGCATACCTTTGTTTTAAACCAAGTGGCAGGGCAAGCTTCTGCAGTCAGGGTCAGCTGGAAGCTGGCAGAAGAAGCACAATAATGTGTTTTGTTGTTGCTTTAATTCAGATGCTTGCTAGCAGGAATTTAATAAGAAAAAAAAAGAATCCAAGGTGTGAATTGTTTTTGTTTTTAAACACATCCTTTTCTCAGAACTTGTCTCAGCTTAAAGTTGGTTGCTGGTCAAGTGCAGCTCCATCTGCTGATCTGCTTCTGATTGGTGGTTTGTGGCCTCCAGTATGTGCTGCTAATTGTTCTCACCAGTCTATTTTTAAGGTAACTTTTGTGCACGTGTGCTGAATAGCAAAGACGTTTTTGAGATCGTATATTTGGAAACCTGAGCAGTAAGAAGAGCAGCAGCATTCTGATTATAGAAGTGGGTCAGCAGCTGTACCTTCAGCCTGACCTCCAGCTGTACACTGTTTCCAGATGCAGCTCAAGAGTTTCTATTCTCTGGAGGTTGATATGGATTCAAATACAGTATGATGAGGAGAGTCTCATATAGCATTGGAATTCAGCTGCAGTCCTGTGTATGTCAAACACAGGGGAAAAGATATGCTGGTTTTTCTGTGGCATCAGAGATGGCAAGCGTTGAAATAAAAGTCCTGAATGTAAAGAACCATTTTGGTTAAAAGGAGGGCAAGCCAAGAAGAGAGGATGTTGTACATTTCTTAAGTTATGGGTCTTGTGCTAGTAGAAATTGCTTAATAGAGAAAGTAGCATCTTAGATTGAAAGAATAATTCTTGCTTATCTATTTTGTTAGATTTGGATGTGTCTGACTGTAAGGAATGACAGCAGTGCATTTGAACTGCCATATTTTTTCAGCACACCCTGGCAGGCTGTTCTGCATCACTTTCGTTTGTTGGTGATTTTTCTTTCTGTGCTTGGAGAGCTTGTGGTCTTTTTAGGTTTGTTTGAGAAGCGCTGCTCTCCGTTACTAAGCTGAGCAGGGAAAGCAGTTAGAGCTGTGCTTTCCGTGATGTAATGAGACGTGAGTCTGGTTTGAGCAGGGAATTAATGACTTGGAGATGGCAACTAATGCAGAAGGAAACATGCACACACCAGATTTAAGATACTGAGCCTTGTTGTTTAATTAAGGAGAAACTGGGAGTGAAATCAGGGTTGAAAGCCCTTGAACAGACTCTTTATTATTCAAAACAGAATCACAGAATCACCAAGGTTGGAAAAGGCCTTCAAGATCATCCAGTCCAACCATCCACCTATCAACAGTAGTACTCACTAAACCATGTCCCTCAACACAAAATCCAAATGCAGCTGGTACCAGTGAACTGGTAGGTATATACTGGAGAAAGAAGAAGGTCAAACTGACAGATAGTAGGCCTGTGTGGAGTTGGCAGTGTATGTAGATTGCAGGAGCAGTAGGGCTGGCCTGAGTAGGTCCTGTAGTTTTTCTGTTAGGGAAATGATAATTTTTCTTTTGTGCTGACACATCATCCTGCTGTGCTCAGCAGTCCTGGCTGCTCTGTACAAAAAAGAAAAGAAAAAAAAAATCGGAAGAATTTTGTCACAGCACTTCACAGATAATTTTTTTCAAATTTTAAAGCAGTAATGATCAGACACTAGATGTGATTACAGATTATCTCACAAGCTTGATAATTTTCATATGAAACACTTAATTCATACAGTTAAGTGTGCTTTCGTTCAAGAAATCAGAAATTATTTAGATTTCTTCTACCTGAATAAAATTTCACTTTCAGTGTGAACCTTTTTATTTGTGGAGGTAATCTACAGAAGATGACACTGTTTTTTCTTTGAAGTAGGTGAGCACAAAACTATTTGTGTTTATCTTTAAATAGGATCTTTAAATAGGAGTTGAAGAGCTTAAGTAGTCAACTCTTTGCTTACACTCTGATGTGTGTGCGTAAGCAAATTGTCTCATTATGTTTGCAAATATGGCCAAATATGCCCTGTTGACCAGTAGGTTTTTAAAATATCATGGGTATGGCACTGCACCACCACGCTACTCTTAAAAGATATCAAATATTTAATGGCTAATCTGACGCATACAGAGAACCCAGTAACATGATAAATTGAATGTTTGTTGCTCTCCCTTTCCTAATTTATTCTCTGAAGTATAACATATAAAACCCCAAACAACGCTGCCCTTTTTTCCACGTGGTGCCAGTTCACACCTGAGATGCAACTGTGCACCCAGATGTCTCTTTGCTGGTTTTCTTCTGTTGGATAGATACTTCCCAGGGGCTACTTTACTCATTTTCACATGAAGGGTTGAGTCTTACAAGGCCTGATACAGCTTTTGGTATTACTTTATTTATTCATTCATTCTTTTAGTACCAGTGAGTGGCTGTTAATTTATCTGTGTTCATTTCATTTTGATGCTGTGGTTTATATGCATAAATTCTTATTTTAAACCTCCATATGCACCTCACACACAAGCACACACCTCCTTTCCATCTGTGATGTTACAGAATGACTCCAAAACGCTGCAGCTCACAGAAGGAATTGCTACTGGTGTTCACATGAGACAGAAGCAAATGATTACAAACTCATTTTGGAGTATGGAAGAAATGTTGTAGAGAAGCTCTGGATAATTATAAATGAGATTTCTCAAACTTCTCTAACACAAAATGAAAGCCTGTTTTCTAGATGTCCTCTGCCTTTTTATTTCCGTATGATCAAAGGTTCTGTTCTTGTATTCAGGATGGAAATTGTTAATTGAAGGCATGAAAGTGTGCAGGATGATAATTAGAGTTGAACTGTGAGCTGCAGTTAGCATAACTCGTAACAGTTCCTCATATGAGTGTGCTTGTTAGAATATTTAAATATCTGTATATTTACATATCTTGCTTTCATTAAATTATAATTCATTTATACGTGATTTTTAGAGGATGCATTTTAAAAAATGGTATTTATGCATTTCAGGTAATATTTCTCTGGTTGTAAATGGGAAATACGTAATTAGTGTTCTGCTCATCAGGATTTGGTGAATTGATTCCTTAGGCTATGCTAAATTCAGTGCTTTATACAGACACGAGTGCTCCAGATTGCATCTCTTTGTGAATACGAAGTTCATGTGAAGTTAAATGGTGGTAAAACTGAATTAATTGCTTTCTAGATTATCTGTGTTTTCAGACAATAGCTGATAACAAGATAAACCACTATGTGGTTCTTTTGTGAGAAAATCATAACAGAGAAGGTGATTTGAGTGTATATAAAGAAAATGAGCAGCATTCTATTTATGTAATGCTGTAGAGTAAGCACATCTTCCAGCTGTTGTCACGAAGAGGTGCATGTGTGGATGCTTGTTTCCTTGTGTACTTCCCAGTACACTTGAAGATATTCGTATCTTCCTACGTTCTCTGTTCTCATTATAGGTCACTTTTCTGGTGATGTTGAAATAGGGTCAATTGATTTCCATCATCTGTTTGTAGTTGGGCGTTGTTACACTTAGCTGTCACTTCATTAACAGGATGTGCAATCATAAACATTCAGGACTTTCTATACTTCGCATTTGGTAAAGGCATTTATGAGCATCCAGAAATCTTATAGCCTTAATGTGGTATATGAGCTATTGATAAAATTGCACAGTGAAATGTTTCTCACAAAATTTGTGCTATACAAACCATTTTTCAAGCATTTAGCAGATGTTGCAGCTTCATCAACACAGTTGTCTGGATCCATAGACAATCAAACTTCTGTATGTGATTCTATATGAACGCCTAGATGTGTAACAACAGTGTCTTAGGGGACAGTTATTAATTTCAAAACAGAGATTGTCCTTTTCCAAGGACTAGGAAACCTAAAACTTCAGTTTTTTTCATAACTGATCTTTCAGCCTTTTTAGAGGGTTAGATGCTGTTTTCTTCAAGTTTTATGGATATTTGTAATGCATAAATAAACAGTGGCATCTATCAGATCATAGAGTATTCTTTCATACACCAGCTCTTATATTTGCTTCTGCACAAACCAGAATCCTATAGACAGCCTGATTATTTGGTGCTCATTAGAAATTCTTCTGCAATGTTGTTGTATGTAAAGATTTTTCATTTGTTGTTGACTCATGAATTGGTGTTAATCTTAACTCTGGAAATAGAAACTGTAAACCTTGAAATGTTCAAAGCCAGGACTTAAAACTTTGTGGAAGTTGCACAAAAATACCATTATGAATATGCATTTCAAATTCTTATGTTTTAATAACTGAAAGAAAAGCTCTACAAGTGCATACTTTTAGAGAATCTTCTGTTTTATTTTTACCTTTTGGTTAACTATTGTATTCTTCCTTTTCAGAATGTATGAAAACATGTCCACAATGGTGTATCTAAAGGAAGAGAAGTTGGAGAAGCTCACTCAAGATGAAATCATTGCCAAAACTAAGCAAGTGATTAATGGACTGGAGGCATTGAAGAATGAACACAATTCAATTTTACAGAGCTTACTTGAAACACTGAAATGTTTGAAGAAAGATGATGAAACGAATCTGGTTGAAGAAAAATCAAACATGATTCGAAAGTCACTGGAGATGCTGGAGCTCGGCCTTAGTGAAGCACAGGTAAAGCTCAAGTAGAAATAAAGCATTTCAGATTTTGACTAAAATTTTAGTGTATTAAAAAATAACAAAAGATCATTGTTTGACTTCAGACTGGAAATTTAAAGTAAACATAATCAGTTTTGATGGATGTACGTTTGCCTTACTGAATATTAGCAGCATGCTGAGTCATGGAAGTTATTATTTTACATTAAGGAAGCAGACTGCTGTAATTAATAGAAGCTGTCTTACTGTGTTACAGAACTAATTATACATTTTGCCCATAGCTAAGCTCCTCTTTGCTTTGGTGAGGTGACTGCTATTTTCTATTAGTTTTCCATGGCTTTAGTCAGGTAACGAGCTGCTCAAACAAGAACCAAGCATCAGCATTTTAGCTCTGAAATACAGGTGTGGAGGTCATGCACAAATGAGTTTCCTTAGGATTAGGAGACTGACCTTTCAGCTCTGCTGTGATCTTACATTTGTGTTCTTATTCCTTTGATTCTGAGATTCTTTATACAAGCTCACAGTGCTCTTGAAGTTTAAGAGTCTCCAATATTTATTGAACACCTTAACAAATCAAAATTGAATTTTAATATATTTGAAGGTTAAGAATTTAGTATAGAATTTGAGGAACTTTCATTTATGCCCTAAAGCAGGGTCTAAGTGCTAACTTCCATAAGCTATTGAAGTGAAGGATGGTATCATCTGCAGAAGGTGAATGAGAAGATGCATGTTAATTTTGAATACGTAAACAACTAGATGCTGAAGTCTGGAGATTTGGACTGGTGTTAGGAAATTATTCCTCATGTTTTATCTTCCTTTAAAAGGGAAAAGTAGTTTCTAAAGAATTAATATTTGTTTTAGAAACCTGAAATTTCAGTTAAAAACAGCAGTTATTTCATGTTAAATGCTTAGTTCAAAAGCAAATTGAAGTAAATTTGCTTTAAAGAAACATGAAATTGAGGAGATGAAATACTGATAACTTAAGAGTGTCAAACTCATCTAAAATAAGATTTTTATTATCACCACTGACCCATTCTTTGAAGGTATGCTTTCTTCTTGTATTGGTAGTATATTAACATAAACAGTGAAAGCAGAGTGTTCTGTATGTAGAATTTGGCTTTCACTTAACACTCATTTTTCATTTGACATTGCTTTGCAGAGAAAAAATAAAAATCTAAGTAGATTGTTTTTTATGGCTGCTTTATCATGTTACAGGACAAAAATGATTCAGACATGTAAGATATCTGCACGCTCAGATATCTCTGTCTCAGATGTATGTATATCTATGTGCTTGTGTAACCTTTAGGTCTAAGTAGTATAATAGTCACTGAAGTATTATTGTTATTCTGTTGTCCAGATATCACAAATGATGCAGGTTTTAAGTAATAAAACACTTTAGTGCTGAATACAGGACTGCATTCTGGAGGAGGTATGTCATGTGATACTTTCTGCCTTTTAGGTAATGATGGCCTTGTCAAATCACTTAAATGCAGTGGAATCAGAGAAGCAAAAACTGCGTGCTCAGGTTCGCCGACTGTGTCAGGAAAATCAGTGGCTACGGGATGAACTGGCCAATACACAACAGAAACTACAGAAAAGTGAGCAATCTGTGGCTCAGCTGGAGGAAGAGAAGAAGCATCTAGAATTCATGAATCAATTAAAAAAATATGATGATGATATTTCACCATCAGTAAGTAGCTGTGTGGTAAAAATCAGCTCACATTTATGCATGTGCTGTAATCTGCCTAGTTAGCAAAAAATGACAGATGAAAGCTTTTTATTTGTTGCTAACATAAACATGTCATTTAAGTGCTTGCTTTATACTAGTGTCACGTTTAGATTCTTAGGGTAAGAGAGTAAATGTTTTACTGCCTGTAGATATTAAAAAAATATATATATAGTGTCATGCTAGCTTAAAAACTGAAATGCTATAAACTGAACTTGAGACCAAAAATTTCCTTCTATACACTCGGCAGTTATAAATAAGTGAGCAGTGCAAATTATTATGGATTTTAAGAACAAAGAGGACTTGAATTATTTTGACTACAGGAAAAATACTTTGTTTTTATCTAATGCAAGCTATACGTAGTCCCTATAGCTTCTATCTTTTGCAAACTTACACTGGTATAGGATCCCCTTTCTTGACCTGCTGTGCATTGTGATCATATGTACATTTTCAGTCATTATTACTTAACCTATTTTGTTAGATACTCTTAGATTCAGAGAACAAATGGGTACAATTTTAATTTACAGAAGTAACTTAACCAGTTGAAAGGACTTCTAACTAACTTACTTTTCATGTTGTCTTTTTATTTCTTCTCCTGGACAGTACTGTAGAAATCCTTGTTTTGTGTGTTCAGACCTACTCAGTCATATCTTACAGTTATAACCAATTAGCAACACGATGGGTGAAAACGTATTTTATTCTTGCTTGACTAAATACTTTTGAACATAGTGAGAGTCGACCAGATGCTTTCAGAATTTTTCAGTGTTGTTTCATGAGTTGGTATTTGTGGTTGAATACTGCCAGTGAAGTCCATTTAATAAACTTTCTTTAAGGAGAAGAAAAGGTACAGGAGGAGGAAATACTCTGACTTCTATGCCCTAAAAGTTGAACAATAATCTGTAGATGGCCTAAATAACATCACTACTTGAAATCTGATTGGCACATAGTAACAAAGTAAACAAAGCACCTCTGTAGTTTCTCTAACCATGTGGACAGCCTCTGTTGTTACCCTTTTGTCAATTGCATATACTCAAAGTAAATTTGGAATCAGCACATCTAAAAATGGATATCAGGTGGGAAATTTATAGTCTCATCAATCTGCTAGTTTTTGCAGAGCACCTGCTTTGCAACCATTGAGTCTGAGCGCTAGCAGCAGCAGCAGTTACCTTTTCTTCTATAGAAAAAAGTGTCAGAGGGCCAAAAAGAAAAGAATGCACAGCTGGGTTTTCTTCTTACTGAGAACATCAAATATATACGTATATATTTACTGTACGTTTCACATATGTGAAACAGGATGTGAGGATAATCTATTTCTGGTTACTAGTTCAAATTAATTCTCCTTCTGGAGATCAATCTCCTTATTCTTTTCACTTGCTTGTCTACAACTGCACGTATAACTTCTAAGCACAACGGACAAGTGTGTATTCAGTAGTGCTCTTCTGTGGGTACTTTTCTGTAGGCATAATGTTTTGGTAAAAGTAGCAAGTGTGTTTTTAGGAGCTTAATTTGAGCTGAAAAAAACTGAGATCTAGGAGACCTGATTTCTATTCCTGGATCTCCCGAAGGTGTCCCATATTGTTTTAGAACAGAGGGTGTAAATACACTTGAACATGAGACCTTCATTAAATTCCTTTGAGAAGCATTATTCTTGGTAATTCCAAGATGTGGAGAGTTCCTTCAGTGTTGCAGGTTAAATTGACTTTATGCTTTAGATTTAATTGTATAACAATTTGTTTGGGCTTGGGCTTTTTCTATAGGAGGATAAAGATACGGATTCCACCAAAGAGCCTTTGGATGACTTGTTTCCCAATGATGAAGATGACCAAGGACAGGGAAGTAAGTACATTTCTAATTGCAGTTTTTACTGCATCTCTGTAATAAAGAGGCTAAGGATGCTTATCAGAAAAGTGAATCCACATGTATGGTCTTCTGGGACAGAGTGAAGCAGTGAATGCCTCTTGCCCTACTAGAGTAATGAAACAGGAAAACCAGTTGTGATAATTGTGGTGTGCAGAACTGGGGCCTAGATTTTCAGAGTTCACTAGCTGTTGCAAAATTCCTGGAACTAATTTCAGTACTAAACTGGTCCCACAGTCTTTTTTATTTTTTTTGTGGGCCTCAGAATGGCAAAAATTGTTCAAGGTGACAGGGGCACGTTCTCTGAAACACTGAAGCTTTTTGGTCATCTGCCCAGACGGTAATTCTGTTAATGACCTTTTAAATGATCTGATTTAACATTTTGGGACATGAAGTCTTTCTCACTCAGTCTTTTGTCCTTTGCTAAAATTGTTTTCCTTACTTCATTATTCATTGTAGAGGTATTGTCTTCAAGTCAGACGGACCAGTGAATAGGTATGAAGTTTGAATTAGAGGTTGAAAGAAGCCATTGACAGATAAGCCTTACTTATTGAAATTGTTTTTCTTACAGATGTAAAGCTGATATTATACAGTATATTGATAGTGTATATGCAGTGTGCTAGTGATATAATGATTCTTGGCGAATAAATGACAAAAAAAAAGTCTGAAGGGCCCTACCTTGCTAATCGACAGAGTTTTGAACTTCCATTTTGAGCACACACAGGGTTACCATGCTATCGAGCATGGAGTATATGAGCAACAGCAATGGGGGAAAGGTTTGCAGAGATGAAAGGTTAGTGTTGATCACAGACTTCATCCTGAGCTTATCTGGCCTTACCTAGAGCTTTGAATTAGGAAAGTTGAGTGGCAAAGCAACCTGTATACCTGTGTAATCTATCTATGCTTTTTTTAAATATTAAATATTTTGATTTACACAGAAGGGTGCTGTTTTGGTAATTACCTTGACCTCCAGGAAAAAAAAAAACTCAAATGCTTCAGTGGTTTGGCAGGCAATGATTGTGGATGTAGGTTTTGAATTGTATGATTCCACTGACAGAAAAAGGCTCCTACTTGCTGTGAGAGTGTTTCCTTTAATAGAAGAAAGTTGGTCTCACAGCAGGAACCCTTGTTCTGTGTGTTTATAATTTAATAAAAATGAGTAAGAGATGAAATCTCCCAGGCTAAGAGAAAAGGGATAGTTTGGAGGAGTGGGAGGGGGTTGCAACAACCAAAAGTTAGTAGCTAAGGAAAATAAATGGCTAAACTTGAGGTTTAGGAAGTAAAATAAAAACGTTGACACTGGTTTTGACTTGGTGCCCTTTCCCTTATAGCTGCTACTTGTGGCAGCCAAGGTGCTCTAATCTTTTTTGTGCCAACCTTAGGCATTTCTTGGTACAACAAAGGGAAATAAGCGAAAGCAGAAGTATGTTTAGAGAAAGATAATAATGGAAAAAGAACAAATAATTTGACCTGTTCTGCCAGTACTTTGCTTGTCTGCATTAGTGTTCCTTTCCATAGGGAAATTTTAGTATTTCTGATTGTAAAATTGTGTCATAGTCTTGAGAACTGTTAATGGTTTGCTGAGATGAAGTATGACACAGTTTTCTATTTTCTCCATTTGTTTATTAACTAGACCTCCAGAGCTAGTAAAACTGTAAAATAATAGTAATGCAGTATCTTTGTTTATGAACTGTGGAAAGAATGTGAAGAATTAAGTGAAGTATGTTCTGGTACTAATGCTTTGTATTGAAGAAATAGAATTCAGCAAGTCTCATTGAGCTTAAAATGTTAAATGTCTTCAAGTTATATCAGTCTTTTTAAATAAATTAAAATCCTGTGGATTTCTTCCAGTTCAACAGCAGCATAGCAGTGCAGCAGCTGCTGCCCAACAAGGTGGCTATGAAATTCCAGCAAGATTAAGGACCCTTCATAATCTTGTTATTCAGTACGCTTCCCAAGGTAGATATGAGGTTGCTGTACCTCTTTGTAAACAAGCTCTTGAAGATCTGGAGAAGACTTCAGGCCATGACCATCCTGACGTTGCCACTATGTTGAACATACTTGCTTTGGTGTACAGGTTTGTATAGTGACATAGATAAATGCCAGCTAAACAAATAGTTGACATTTGGCTGTAGCCTGTTAGTGTTCAGGCCAGCATTTTTGCTGTCTTATTATTTTCCATTGCCTGTTTTTTTAAAACCCTCAAGAGAGTGCAGCAAAATGTATGCAAATGCAGCAAATGTATGTCTATTCATACTAAAATTCAAGTGAGTTGTTCCTTTTTTCCTATGCCTTTGTTGTGAAAAGCATTTTTGAAACCCAGCACCTTCCTTATTTGGTATGCAGAGAAAGCATGTGTTGGTTATCCACTTTCAGGTAATCTAGAGAGATAAATTGGACAACACAGTAAAAATTGTACCTGCTAGTCCTGAGCCCTCTAGCTAGTTTAGTTATGAGCTTCATGTTTTTGCTTTGCAGTTCCTAAATGTATTCTTAATTAATCCACTGTTATGGTAACATCTTTAGTCCAATACTGAAGCCAGCTTCATTTTTATGACATCTCTTCTGAATCCTCAGTATTAATTATGAATTTTTAAAATTCAGAGACCAGAACAAATACAAAGACGCAGCAAATCTCCTGAATGATGCCTTGGCTATCCGTGAAAAGACTTTGGGCAAAGATCATCCAGCGGTTTGTATACAAGCAATACTATATTTTTACTTTTGTTTTTTGACGTTTTTTTTTTTCTTTCAACTCATTCTAATATTAAACTCAACAGGAAAGTTTTTAAGACCTGGCTTATCTCTAAACAGCACAGGTAGGAGGCCACGTTGTAACATTCTTTGTTTTCTTTTAAATATAAGCATTATATTTGATGCTGTTTCACCACAAATGACCTGCACTTACTTGATTTTTGGATCAGATTGCATGGATCTTCTATGGGAAATGAATTTATAAAGAAAAATGTTAATTTGCTTACTTGAATCACAGTTGATTGAGTGAAATCAGATTGAAGGTGTACTTCTGATTTGTTTTTCTACTGCTTTTAAATGAGGCATAAATCAAACTTCTGTACCCAGTGTTAAAAATCAGTGGGGTATCTTTCATCATGGCACTTGTTTGGAAGCGAGGCAAGCCTCAGTATCTATAACTTTGGGGGTAACTTTGTGAATGACATTTGGGAATCTCTTCATTTGCAAAATTCAAGAGGAAAATTTGAAAACATCATTGCATTACAAGTACATTAATTTGATAGTTATTTGTATCAGCAAATTGATGTAATTAATACTTCTCTCTGTTGGCAGGTGGCAGCAACTCTAAACAATCTTGCAGTTCTTTATGGTAAACGGGGAAAGTACAAAGAAGCTGAACCTTTGTGTAAGCGAGCTCTGGAAATCAGAGAAAAGGTACAATTGCAGAAAAAAAAAACAAAAAAACAACCCAACAAAATGAAGCAAACAGAGCACCTTTGAATAGACTTTTTTGGGGGGCAGGATTAAACATCCTTACACTTGTTCTGTGTTTTGATTGGACAGATCTGCCAGGCCAATCACAGTAGTTAGCAACAACTGAAATGTACAGCAGTGTTAAATTCCTACAGAACTGTTGCAGCACACTGGGTGTATTCCAAGTTCTGTATTTTGTAATAAACCTTCTCTACCTTTTTTTTCCCCTTTTGTTTGTTAAGGGATCTTTGATTTGGCAAGAGCACTGGAATGAAACAGGAAACTTAATTAAAACTTTTAAACTGATTATTCTAGGACTATGTGGATATTTATCATGGTCCATGTGACTGAATGTCTGCATCTTCAGGCTTATCTGGATAATACCCTGCTTTTAATGTAATTAGATGATTTAAAATATGCCTGTTACAAGTTTCTCTACAGCCTTCTGGGTTTGGAATATCATTGAGTAATTATCATATCCTTCTCTTTCAAAGTTCTCTTTCATCTTCACGTTGAAATTTCTGAGGAATCAATACCAATGGGCTATTTCTACAAGATGCATTTCTAAACTCTGATATGATTACTGGAAAATGATTTAATGAGATATTTCTTTTTCAGGTCTTGGGGAAAGATCACCCCGATGTTGCCAAACAGTTAAATAACTTGGCTTTACTATGCCAGAACCAGGGTAAATATGAGGAGGTAGAATATTACTATCAGAGAGCACTGGAAATTTACCAAACTAAGCTGGGACCAGATGATCCAAATGTTGCAAAAACAAAGAATAACCTGGTAAGACTTTTATAAGTAAATCTACGAAAAGTGAAATTTTCTAGCGAATTGAATGTATTCAGTACATTATTCAGAATGTATTGTATTTACTGTATTATTTCTCAAACTAGATTTAAAAAGTGCTATTGTCTTTTTGGGGGTGTTTTCTTTCTAGGCATCCTGCTACCTAAAACAGGGCAAATTTAAGCAGGCGGAAACTTTGTACAAAGAGATTCTTACTCGTGCTCATGAACGGGAATTTGGCTCTGTAGATGGTAAGAAACTTAGTCTTAGACTTCAAAGTATGTTTAATTTTTGTGGTAGTTAGGAAAGAAAATCTGTTGGAGGTTGATCATGTTCTGATTAGAATCGTCTGCTTGAAGCAGATTTGAGAAGTGAGATAGCAGATGCATTAAAGTACTGTAAAATTCAGCACAAGAAGGTGTTTAGTGGATACAGCAGTAACATTTAATTCAAAATGAAAGTTTCTTCAGTGAGAGAGCCTTGGTTAGCTTTATATCCTTTGCATCATATTTCTGGCATGATTTATGTATATCAGAGACTGATTTTAACATTTTTATAGATGCTGAAAATGTCACTTTCCAGTCATTGGAATAAATTTTTAAGGACATAGTGAATATACCGATGAGTCATTCTCTAACATACGAAGAATTAGAAAATATTCTTAAATTTACAATGTAAATTTACAATGTAAATTTAAGGATACGTACTCTGTAAATTTAAGGATATTGTACACTGTACAAGTTACATTGTACACTGAAGTTAAATACATTTCATCAACTGTAAATCACAGAATTTTTATTGCATTCTGTGACATATGCATAGTAGCATATGCACCATTTAGTAGATGTCAAAATAATCATTATGGTAAAAGAAACAAATGCATGCTTGCTAGCAAATAATGAGGTACACAATAGATGGATGGCAGTACATATTGACTTCAAAGCTTCTCAGAAGTAACTTCCTAAGTTCAGATCAGAAAAAAAGACAGAATTGTTAAATAATTAAAAAATGTTACATCTGGTGCTTCTTTCAGTGGTTCTTAGCCTTATTTCAGAAGGGTTAAAATATTGCAGTAAAAACTTTGTAGCTTTTTACTTCTATAAAATAATTTCTTCTGTTTCATTAGATGAAAATAAGCCTATTTGGATGCATGCAGAAGAGAGGGAAGAGTGCAAAGTAAGGCCACTGTCATAAATCTTTTTTTGAAGCTTTTATTATTTTAGTTACAAGTGAATTATTTTGCTTTTAATGCTACTTTTGTTTTTAGGGAAAGCAAAAAGATGGCACATCTTTTGGAGAATATGGTGGCTGGTACAAAGCTTGCAAAGTTGATAGGTGAGTATTTCCTTTATTGGACAGATCACGTGGCAATAGACAGTATCTAGAAATGTCAGACTAAAGCATGTTTTGAAATGAAAACAAATGAGCAGCTTGCTTCCGGCAACAAGAAGTACAGTATTAGATACTCAGGCCTAAGGCTGGCTTTCAGGAAGTGCAGATGGCAGCAGTTTGCAATCCCGAGGCTGCTTTTAATGTAGGCTGATGAGATCTAGTGTAGGTCACCTTTCTTTTTATACTTCCAGTTGGCTTTCGTGCTCTCCCTGCCCCAGCAAAACCTGTAGAAAAGGCCAGGAGTGAAAAAGAGACTGTGCCTTGAGTTTCTGTCTGGCATAAGAAAGCAAAGTTAAAACTGCTGCACTTATATGTTATTTGAGTTTCTAAAGCCCGAAGAATGTTAATCTTGTGTGAATGAGAACATGCATCTTATCTTGGAAGAAGGGAAACAGGAATTTCAGCTTGCATCATACTTGCTTTTCATGCATGCTTTGTTTTAATTACATTCTAAGGCACGAGCAATTTTTTTTCTCTGCTGTTATTGAAGCAAAGCTTCAAGCAACAATACTATGACTGAGCTAATTCTCGTTGCATCATTGAATCAAAATGAGGTGGGAGTCAGATTTTCTAGCGGAATGTGTGGAGTTTTTTTCCTTTGTTCCGTTGCTCAAGTTTAGCACAGGAACTGAAAGTAGTTATTAAGTAAAAGCTGATGGAAGGAATTATTAATTTAGAGTTGGACTAGATGATCTCCAGAGGTCCCTTCCAATTGTGCTGTGGTTCTGTTTTGTGACTAATGCATGCTGCAGTAACAGTCACAGTATGCCCGAGTAAGCACATTATCTGGATGCTTTAGAATTACTCAGTTGGACACATTAGAACTGAGCTAAATTTTTGCCTCTTGAGATGCATCTAAGAAACATTCCAGTTTTCTCATGGCTGGATTCAGAGGCTAGTTACTAAGATTCAGGTTCAAGGATGCTGACTAATGATAGCATGAGATGTTAATGCAGTTTGAGGGGACATAACAGCTTTTTCATGTATGCGTAATAAGTTACAGTGTATTTCTCTTAGTAATTACCAAAAGATTATGTTGTATTAATTCATTTTTTATTAGTTTGTGAACTGAGAAGAATATAATCATAGAATCATAGAATCACAAGATTAGAAAGAGCCTACAAGATCATCTAGTTCAGCTGTCTTCCCGTTACCATTGTTACCACAAGCACTAAACCAGATCTCATAGTTCCTCATCCAAACACCTCTTGAACTCTGCCAGGGACGGTGACTCCACCACTTCCCTAGGCAGACCATTCCAGTGTCTGACCACTCTCTGAGAGAAGTGTATATAATGTGTATATATATGTTTTTTTGTTTTTTTTTTATTAGTCCAACAGTAACAACTACATTGAAGAACCTTGGGGCACTTTACAGACGACAAGGCAAATTTGAAGCTGCTGAAACATTAGAAGAGGCAGCAATGAGATCTCGTAAACAGGCAAGTATGAAAATTCACCTTAATGTTATCTCTGCATTATGGCCATGCAGATTTCCAAGTTTGGTGCCTGTCCTCTATTCAGAACATATGAACATTTAGCTATTTGTTGTCTGTTGCCTGGTGTCCTTGAATTTCAGCTGCTTGACTCTAACTTTGAGAATGCTGTTACAAATTTATCAGTTGCTGTTTCTGTTAGTTTTGCTAGATGATGGGATGAATATTAGAGATTGAGGGATACTACAGCATTTCTTTCAATGCTGTCTCTGCTCTCTAATCTGTCGTTAAACTAACTTTTTTTTCCCCACAATCTTTTGGGAGAGTGTGTTTTTGTTTTTTCCTTTCTTTCTGAGGGATGTTATACAATGTCTGTTACAAAAGTACGTTAAGACTGGACAAGCAAAGAAGGCTTGTTGGTCAGTGTTAAGATGGAAAACAAAAAATAAGAAAATCTTAATGAATAAAAAAGTAACTTGTATAGTTCCGTTTTAATTTTGTTTTTGTGGAATAGTAAATAAGGCTTGTATTTTTCAGAACTGTTTTTTTATGCTGCCATCTAAACTTCTAAACTCAAATTCTTAGTTCAAGAAAAGTAACTTAGATAATGTATTATATCTTATTTGATTATTTATCTTTTATGCAATTGCTTATACACATCTGTAGTTGCATTTTGAATAGTATTCTTCAGTGTTTGGTGTATTGCACAAGCTGACTTCTGGAGAAGTGAGAGCAAATAAAACTCATGCTCTTCTAGTGAGTTTAGCAATAGTTCTTTGATACGAGGTGAGATAAGTTCACTCTTCAACAAAACTAGCTGATGGAAGACTAGCAAGTGCTTGCCTGATAAGTGGAATGAAACTGATAAGAGGAATGTGTGAACAAATGTGGGAGAAAAGTTCTTCATCGGGGGAAATTCAAAGGTGAAGGGAAATAATAGAAAGAGTTATCTTTAGTAAAATGAAGTTTGCTGTATATATTTCATGGTTCTTTTTTGGTGTGTTTGTCACTGAAATAAGTTTTGATAATAAATGTGCGTTGCATCTTATTACCAATCAAAGCAAATTTATTGTTGCTGTTGTCATGCCGTGTAATGTTTTAATGTTAATGGATGCAAAGGCAAATTAGCATAATGTAATAATTGTAAGACTGGAAAAAAAACAACTTCTATATAATTGTTTTTTTAGTTCTTTTTTAAGCTTTAATTAAAAAAAAAAAAAAATTATTTTTTTGTGGTGAGACCTAAAATTGGTTATTTGGGAATTAAGGGTAGACTTCTCTGAGAGCAAAATTCTCCTCTTTTAGTGTCTCTGTTAAATGTTGGCTTGTCCAAACCTTTGGAAAAACTGTTCCTGATCTTAATTTTCCATTTGAGCCTGCTGCTATTTCTTTTCTAAGCTTTTTCAGGTTTTCATTGGTGTATAATGTACTGTCTACATTGTTACACTCTAAAATATCTCATTATACACAGCACTAGATTTGGACAAGTAGGAAACACTGCTGTCATCCTATCAGCATTTAACACTGCTTCTTTATTTTAGGTCTGTTAAAGGACAGACAGGGTTAATGCATTTCTCCTTCTGAGCTAAAACCAAAGAGGTACTTTCTTCCCATGTGTGGAAATGAATCAGTTCTTCATGGTTTTGTTCTCCCTCGTGCATGTTTAATTTGCAGTAACAGTAAAAAAAATAGAATCAATGGGATTTCAGTATGGTTTTAGTGTTCTCACATTGTGCTGGACTTCATGGATTTGCCCTAGAAGATGCTCTACTTCATTTGTTGCTAATGCTGCGAAGTAAGAGGTGTAGAATATTTTCTTATATGTGAAGTGTAACATGTTAGTATTACAGATAAAACAAACTGTGTATAGGGATTAGCTGTTCAGACCCCTGCAATGTTCTTTCCAGAGGAAGATGAACATACAACTTTTGATAGGAGGAAGGCTGAGAAATGTGTATACTGTTCATGATCTGTAAATTCTTAAATATTAATCTGGCCAAATGGTTTCAGGTAAGTGACATTAACACCAGGAGGCTTTGACAAATGATGGAAAGGAGGAAAAGAATGCCAAGTTGCTGAATGCCCAGCCTACATACTAACTATCCACTCTGCTGTTTTGCTGCCTGCAATAAGGGACAGTTTATCTTGATGGTCCTTCGAAAGCAAAAAGATGATGAATTTGTTTCCACAGTTATTGTGTAAGTTGTAGATGGCTACACCATATCATTAAAACTTATTCTGTTTTATCTAATTCTCAGGGTCTTGACAATGTTCATAAACAGAGAGTTGCTGAAGTGCTCAATGATCCTGAGAGCATAGAAAAAAGGCGAAGCAGAGAAAGTCTCAATGTTGATGTGGTAAAGTACGAGAGTGGTCCTGATGGAGGCGAGGAAGTGAGTATGAGCGTAGAATGGAATGGGGTAAGTACAGTACACAGTTTAAGAAAATAGCCTAGATAAATTACCGCCATAACAAATACAGCTATCTGTTCACAAGCCAATTGAGTTGTCATTGGTTCATGGTTAATTGACTTTTTTTTGGTAATTATTCAGAATTGACTAAGAAATAAAGAATAACACTTCGTTTTTCGTAAGATAATGTAAAAAAATGTTTTGAAATTTAAAAGTATCCGTTCCATTGAGGTCTTGAATGCTGAAATTTCTTCAAGAATCCCAAGCAGTTGTATTTAACACTGAGATGTTTTAATGCTGATTGAGTGTCCTGGTTATGGTCTGGTTTTTAATTACTTTTCAGTGGTTTCTTCTCACTGGTAGGAACGTTCTGGCAATTAACTTTTGCTTTTACTTTTGTTTATGTTGTGTTTTCCTATATTTTATATGTTTTTTGATTCCAACAGATGCAGTATTTTTAAATGAACATTTGCTATGGAGATGTATTAAGTATTAGTGGCCTTAAAGTAAATTGATTAGCCAAATATTAAAATAATACCAATCTCCACTTTATACAACTTGTTAGAAGAAACAGCCTAACTTTACAAGCTGTTGCACAATCTGCCTTAATATGCAGTGCCATCACAAAAGCCTGGCAATAATTTCGCATTTCTTAACCAAAATATTAATACTGCATTCCAATACTAAAATTTGATGGGAGTCAGAGCTTGTTCTGTTTTGTGTCACAAAGTAAAACTACATGTATGATACATTCTCATGTGTGTATTTTTACCATTGTTTTGTTTTTTCCTAAGCCAGTGCAACCTTCCAGTTAATAGATCTGATTTATGAACTTGTTTGTTTCTGTCACCAGACTCCCATGCTTTATCCCACTGTTAGCAATAGGATATCTACTGCAATGTTAACTAACTCCCTACTTTAGTTCTGCTGAAAATACTCTGCTAATTTATAAAGGTGATGTGCTTGTGTGCTTTTGCTTTGTGAGAGGGGAAGTAGCCTACTTTGCAATACTGAGTCTTCTGAAGTTTCATTTCTCTTACAGTAGCAATCTTTGTTTGTTTGTTTAAAGCCACACGTTAAAAACCTTACAGTTCCAAAGAAACCTTGATGAAACATTCTCGTTTAGTTTCTAAGGAGAACATACTTTCTGTCTTCTGATTTTTGTCTCGTTGTTTTCTTGGCATTGGTGTTCTCAGTGCCAAGACAGTCAATCAGCATCTATTGTGAATAATACTGCATCATTAATAAACTCAAAGTAAGGTTGGATAACTCTTTTTTTCTTTTTTTTAACTCTAATTTTGCCCATTCATTGCTAGAACTGTGTACTGTACTCCTCCCTTAATTTCTGCTGTACTTTGCATGACTATAAGTTCTAAATGGATGAAACTTTTTTCTGTTATTGACATTAATTAAACAAGCATGCAGGTTTTGAATTGAAGCCTTCTGGTAAAGCAACAGACAGTATTTCTAGGTCAATATTTGAATGAAATTCAGTGACAAAATCTTGTATCTGAAAAATTAAGTTTTGACCTCTCAAGGCAAACTTCTCATTTTTTAGCATGTTGAAGTGGCATTGCTTTATTGTGATCTTCATTTTTTTACAGTTTTTTTTTCTTTTAAGAAATCTTATATTACATGTTTTACATAAAGTGGGCAACTCTCTCTCCCTCTACCCTGCTAGTGTTTCTATCTCAGTGCTGTTCTTCCCTGTACATATATGGTGTAGTTTTATTTACCCTCGTGTGTTTCCTCCAGACAAAATATTCTGTTTCACAAGGTATAATTTTATAATATTTTTATCAGGCAGATGAGAGCTTAAAATAAGGCCTGTCTTTTCCATTTAAATTCTTCTGAGGTGCTCAAGCTGACTCATGCTCTTGGCTGTCAGAAAGAATAAATGGAGTCTGTAGAGCATCGAACTTCAATAAAAATTTTCTGTTGGAAGAGCATATTGTATTTAAGTGAGTTCCAGTGTAATGTAATTCCTAGTAAGCACTGTATGCTTTACTGTAATGTAACAAATTCATACAGAAAGAACTGAAATGTCTGTATATTATATCTGCCATGAATAACTAAAGCAAACGTGCCAACTAAGGTTGTGCAGAGCATGTTTACATGTTACTTACCAAGTCCAAGTGAACAGAAGATACTTAAAAATTCAGTGAATTACTTTGTCTTAAATTAGAAAGTAGAAATCTGGAGAGTTCCCCTTAGGATCGTTTTAGATTTGCTTTTCTACCTCACAGTTCTTACTGCTGAGTATATTTGCATCTTCTTTTGTCCCTGTCACTTTCTTAAGAAGAAAATAACAGTATGCCCTCCTGCATGATTTTTAAGAAAATGCTAGTGAGTACATGTGACTGCAGTATTTGTCAACTGATTTTGCAGCCAGTTGGAGGACAGCTCAAAGTCTTCGTGGTATGAGAGAGATCAAGGTCGTGTTTTCAGGGGGAGGAAATATCTTTCATTAATCTAACCCATAAACTTCAAATAGGCAGGCTTTTGAGAATGCAAGTCCACTTCAAGGTGTGAAATGAAAGCAGTACATTTTGCTACCAGGTATTAGCTGAAAGCAGTGGTAGCAAAAATTGGCAATAAAACTTCTGCCCCAGAAATTGATATCTCCGTTTTTGCTTACACTGGATTTAGGAATTTTTTAGCCTAAACTCCTGATTTGAAGGTGTTCTGATAGTCCTACAGAAAATGTTTAACTTCAAAGCTCGATGTTTTTATTTCAGATTTGAATTCAGTACCCAAAAGCTTGCTTTTTCTGAATGTGTAAGTTAGAATAATAAAAGTTAGGCCCTGTACCTACCAAATTTGTCTTGCCTTTGTTATCTGGTTCATTATGGCTACTACAAAATCACTAATTGAAGAACATAAGAATAATTACCTTTTCCATTGATCCAATACTTCACCGAAAAAGAAATGCAATTTACGATGAACTCTTTGGTTAAATTGGGATCTTCTGATCATTTTGTAGTGAAATATCTTGCCATTTCCAAGAGTCATTGTAATTACTGTGTTGTTCCAGTTTCCATCTGTGAGACTGAATTGACAGCTCAGGTGGATTCTATTTTCTTAAAAAGTGAACAGAGGTTTGTCTGGAGGTTGGGGAAAAACCTTTCTTCTTTCAGTTTTGTTTGAGGAAAATCCCTGACAGAAGTTAAAGCTGAAATGAATGCACCTTGCTCTGTCGCTCTCTGGTTTTATTTCCTCCCCCTTTTTTTGTGTTTATCAGCTAAAAAGATCCCTTATTTGTTTACAAAGCATAATGTTTAAAGTTGTCCCTTCTTAAAGATGGTTTGTACTTCGTACCAATTCTATCTTAAAGCATGGAATCATTCATGCTCATTTACATGTTGCATATTAGTAATATAGGCCAAAGTGTAAATGCATATCTACATTCTGGTAATTGTGAGGGCCTGCACTCTGTACTTCAATGCAGACTCAGAACTTATTCTGAAAAAAAAAAAAAAAAAGTGTTTTGAGTGTGACCTAGAAATACTGTAAGCATAACTGTACAAAATTGAAAACTGTTGAATTTTTCCCAACAGTTTCATTCAGTTTTTCTCTCTCCATTTCTGACAGGCCTAGATGCCTTTTGTGATTCTTATACTGTCTCCTGCATGAAGGGCGTGCACCATCTTCAAGCTTTAACTTCTCTCTTCAGTACTGACTGCTGTGTTTTAGCAAACCCCCTAAGATTCTTGTCAGAGCTACACTTCCCTGTAAACTGGCCATTCCTTCAGTGCTGGTGTCTTTTTGGTTTCTATTTCTGTACATGTGTAGCTTTGCCAAATATGTATCTAGTCATACAAAATGTTATTACAACCATTTGCTGTGTAATACATTAGTAAAGAATTAACAATGAACTTTATAAGTAGCTGTTCACTATGGAAAAAAGGTAGTTAAAAGTATCACACAAGATATTATTAAAATGGCATGATGGTGATCTTTACAGGAGGAAAAAAAAAAAAACCCAAACCCTTAAAAGTAAGGCATGTTCTCCAAGTGCTTTAAAATGTATTTAGAGACCTATTACATGGTTAACATCAATATGGAACTCTGGATGTCTTCACTTATGATTATTCTAAAGTAGCATTGCTGTTTAGTCTTCGTGTGAAATTTTGGCAAATATGCTTTTCTCTACTAATCTTGGTGTTCAGTGATTTGTGTATTTGTCTTTCTAACTTCTAATAAACTCACTCCAACTCAGGTGTCTGTCTTTGTCTGCTTAATAGCACTTTGCTTTCTTCTACAACTCTTTCTCTCATAATCACAGGGTGTCTCTGAAGTAGGAAATGGTCACTTCTAATCTCACTAAACTGTTTTGTTTTTTTTTTTAAGAGTAAAACATTAAAAAATAAAATTATGCTTGTCTGAAAGCTTTGGATGAGCACAGCAGTGTAAATCATGAATGCAAGGTATAGAAAATGCATTTTTGATGTGTTCTACATTTGCCTTGGTGAGAGTTAAAATGATGCACAGCAATTTAACCATAAATGTCTCTGATCAGTGATGTTAGGATTAATTGAATATGTTTGCAAATAATGTAGATGTTTAGAAAAAAAAAAAAAACAAACAGTTTTTCCTAGACTGGGATGCTTTTGCTTGGGGCTTGTACTCTGTTGAACACAATGTGCTGATACGAAGTGGTACCATGGTGACGGTGAATGGTTTGACATATTGTGGTGGCTTTTTCCTATTAGTATGAATCATCACTTGAGCATGTCTTCACGTTTCAGAAATCTTTGATACAATTTGATGGAAGAAATTTGGATTGGTAAAGTTGTAGCTCTGTAGTATTCTGTACTTAGGTAATTTTACCACGTCAGTATTTATAACAACAAACATTGTGGAACCAGGTTTGGGGAGGGCTGCGGGCTCTCGCAGTTTCACATCTGTTCAATTTCTTTCAGGATGGCACTGGATCTTTAAAACGCAGTGGTTCCTTTAGCAAACTTCGAGCTTCCATTAGACGCAGCAGCGAGAAGCTGGTTAGAAAGCTGAAGGGAGGAAGTTCACGAGACAGTGAACCCAAGAATCCAGGGTAATTATCTCTTCTTAGCTGTGCTGGTGTGCCCTTGTTCTGTGCCCCTGCTGTAGCCTAGCTCAGTACCTAGGACAGTATTTTCTTCTGCTTAGCTAACTGCATGTCATGTAGAATATCATGAAGAAAGATGAAATAGAAAATCTTTTCTTAGGCATATAATTGAAGTTCTTTAACATCTGAGGAATTATGTTTGCTTCTGAGAGTTAACTCAGTTCTTAACCGTCTCTTTCCTTTTTGATGCTCTAGCCACTTGAACAAAAAGGCCTCTTAAAATTATTGGTCAGTGTTAGTAAACCACAAATTCCTCCTTTTTGCACGGTAATAAAGTTAATATAGGATGGTAAAGCTAGAATACGTAAGCTATCATTCCTGCAGCTTAATATATTTATACATTGCTCTGTGCATAAATGAATTACTGACTTGAACTGACTCAGTTTATATTTTTGGGAATACACATCTCAGAGAGCGGAGGAGAATGTTGGAAAAACTTGAACCTATTGGTGTTATCTCATGAGCATTTTAACCAAAGTGAAGTCAGTGGCATTAAGACTTTTAAAATTTTCTTTGTTACAGTATGATTAAGGATTTGGATTTGTGTATATTCCTAGTAAACACATGACAAGTATTCATGATTTTCTGGCTGCTGCAGACATGTTGAAATGTTAAAAATGTAGTACTCTTGTTCTCTTAATAAATAAATGCTTTCAGCTTTCCCTTGCTCTGGAAAACTGAAACTTCTTGAATAGATCATTCTGAATTGGAATAGAAAAATTGAGAGAAAATTCTTTGACAAAGTGAATTTTAATTATTCTAAAACAGTTAAATTACAGAGCTTGGATTCACTTCTGGTAGACTGACTGGATCTGTGAGAAAACAGGTGATGATCTGTCTGAGACAGTGATTTGCAGGCAGATTCTCAGTGCGTTTTGTTAGTGCCTTCAATTAAGTTTTGCCTTACTGGTTTTATGTGGCTCTAAAACATTGTGTACAGCTGCAGTATACACGAAGATCTGTGATTATTCATCAGTCTGTTTAATTCTCTTCCTGACGTACCTGCTTGAACGTCAATCCGATCTGATTTTCCAAATTTGTAATTGCCATTTTACTCTGAGCTGTCACAGATTTAGTTTGAAGGCACTGAATCAAATTCCAAGGTCCAAACTCCCTTTGTATTTGCTGATGCATAATTGAGAGCTGCCTCTGTGATGATAGGTTGGGAATGAGCTGTGAAAAACACATAATTAGGAGGGAGAATTATACAAATGTGAAATGGGTTTTGGGCAACATGGAGAGGCAAGATGGAAAAGAATAAAAGGAATTTCCTTGATTTAAGTATTAGCATTTCTGTACCTTGCTTGGCATTTCTTATTTCTACCTAAAGTTCATACATCATAGTGCAGGCATATTCTCTATCAATATAAATATAAATTCAGACCTAATTTTGCATTTTTTTTTTCTTGTTTCTTAAAGATAAAGTTTTATTCTTTGTTTTTTTGTATTAGGGAGCTAACTGTCTGCAATTGAAGTGACTACCTGATGATTGGTATAGAAAATTAGAGTTAAGTGTAGCTGAAGACATTTGGCTTTGCAGCATCCTGAAAAAACTGTTCTTTTTTATTGTCTGCACTTCTGTAACATATTTGATCTACCCACTTTAATGCTAATTATACTTTAGGTTCTCTATCACCTCAGATAAAGACAATGATAGGAAATGAATTTGGAAAGATGGCAATATATTCCTTTTCCTATCTGACAAAATATTCTTGCTTTTAGATGTTTAGTGTGTTCTCAAAACTTGTAATCAATGTGTTGCATTGGCAGACTTTTACATAGGTATGCATGTTGACAAATATTAGGATTTGTGTCCATGTAAGATACAGAACCTTTTAAATCTTAATTTATACTTGCATATGTTGTTAAAATTAGCTAAGGTGCCTGGTGCTAAACACCAACATTGTAGATCATTAAGTGTAGATGTACATATTGATAATGTAAGAAGATACTTGAATTTTGTTCTCTGAAAAACCTTGAAGTTCAGTTAAATACACTTTCTGAGTTTAATAAAAGGGATATTAAGTTTTTATAATGCCAACCATTTTGACTTCTCACTATACATTAAATATTTCAATTCTGACTGCATGTATGATTGCATACATAGAAGTCAATTTTGCCAAGTCAGCCACTCTAGGTAGAAGATGCAGGTACCTCCCTCCTTATCAGCATTACCTCAGCATTTGCTGCTAGGGTCTCTGAAGATTAGAATCGTAGAATCTCTGAGGTTGGAAGAGACCTCCAAGATCATCCAGTCCAACCATCCAGCTATCACTGATACTTCCCACTAAACCACGTCCCTTAACTTCAATCTGAAGTTTATTTACACCTGCTGCTTGTACTGTGCTTCTGTAAATAGTAGTTGGCAGTGCTAGTCTGATTGTAAATGAGAAATGCTCGGAGAGTAATACATGAATATCACACTGTGAAAGAAAGACTTTTTGTCTTGGTGCTTGGTACAGAAAGAAAATAAAGTGGAAAATGTACCAAGAAATTACTGTCAAAAAGCCTTCTGCTTTATTTAAAGAGAGAAAATGAAGAACAAATTCCTAAGAATTCCAAGTTCATTGAAAGATACAGTATCAGAAGCACAGTATCAGTTTTTATCTTATTTCAGAATTTACTTCTGCAGTAATTTAACCTTGTTTTTGTGGTGTTAAGTTTGATTTTTTTTCCCAGTTACAACATTTAGGTCATAGAGCAGAACAGTTAAGATTTTGTAATTTAAAAAAAGAAAAGCTTTTGCTGCTGTTAAATGTTCAGCAGAAAGGTAACTACATGTGTCCTTGCTAATCAGACAATCACATTTCTAACGTGGAGAGAAAGCATTCAGAAAGAAACTGAAGTTCATGTATTTCTTAATTAAAGGTTAATTCTTCATAAAGTGCTTGATTTCTAAAAACAAAACAAAAGTATCTCATGAGAGATTAAAAACAAAGTGGGCTTAATATAATTAACATATACTTCAGCAAGGGCCTAAAAATTGTACCAGTGGAATTCTTTCTTTCCCTGGCAAGCTTTCCATAAACCTTTGCCCTCTTTTTCATGAGGATTTTAGGTGATATTTGTGTTTTATTGATTAACTGGCTTTGACTTCCATTTATAACTCTGTTGTACATGTTTCCTTGAGGGAAGGAAAGGCATATACCATGCATGAGTCTTTGCTTTGTTGTTGCTAACACTCATGTCAAATATTTTAAATTGTGTGTGCTCTAGCTTTTGAAATGCTAGAAAAAAACCAGTAGGTCTGTGTTGTGCAGCATCTGTTGCCTGTGTTTGTCAGTGTTTTGGTTCATTATTCTGCTTAGCCTTTGCTTTATGAAAGCATTTAAACCACATGCTTCACTTTCACTGTTGGTAGTCTTCAGTAGAAGGACAATCTAGTTAAGTCTGATGTGATGTGTATGGATAAACCTCTCCATGTGATTAGAAGGCCTGGGAAGCTTTGCTAGACCCATAGTAAAGATATAGGGAGTGCTGCAGGATAGCTGCTTCGTTCTGTCATCACGAGTTCACCAGCATGTATGTATTCAAAGCTCTCATTTAGGAGCTTTTAACTCCTTAAAGAGCTGGTCAGAAATCATGGCAAACCTGGGGCATTCAGAGTAGTGCACAGACTCCTTGGGATAGAGGACATCACTGTGAAGCTTGAGACTAATCTGGAATTTTGTTACACACGCTCTAAAATATTTGTTGAGAAATGTAAATACAATCTACATTTGGGTTGGAAAGGACCTTTAAGAACCTTTAAGATCATCTAGTTCCAATTCCCTGCTATAGGCACTTGACCAGGTTGCTCAAAGCTCCATCCAGCCTGGCCTTGAACACCTCTAGGGATGGGGCATCCATAAGCTCTCTGGACAGATGATGAATTCTCACCTCAAATGGTCGTAGATATTGCTGTCAGTGCAGTGATATTTTGGCAGTCAGTAGCTTGTGTGTAGGTGATTCTATTGTTGTCTTTTCCTCACCTGTTGTTTTCAGTATAGTATTGTAGGGCTGCTATTGCTGCTCAAAGCATTGCTAAAACATGACCAGAGTTAGCAGCAGCTGCCATCTCATTTCCCTTCACTTTGAAATGCACAAAATAAAATATTTTAAAACATATTTTGAAATAATAGGTTCTGAACATTGATATAGACAAGGCAGAATGTACTCAACTAATGTTTGGTTTAGCTTTTCCAAGTTAAATACTGCCTGTGTGACAATCTGTTAATTTCACCATTTTCTCCTGAACTATCAGAATGTTTTGCTTTTATAACAAGCTGTGTAAATATGAAAATGAGGATTAGGTAATTAAAAATTAGTGCTAAGTGAGTGTATTAATTTGATGTGCTTTAAAAAATTGAGATTTTATTTTGGATTGCCATTAAATCCACTGCCTGAAGTGTTTAAGCTCTGAGGAGCTTGTAATTGATTTCATATGTAATTTAGAACTGAATATAATATTTTAATCATATCATTATCTTAAAGGGTATTCCTCAGATCACTTTGGGGGCTTTGTTAAAACTCCCTTAACTGTGCATTGGTCGTTGTTATACTTGTGTTTTTAGAGCTGTTAGTGTTCAGCTATTCTGATGGGTTTATCCTTGCATCCTTGTTCACTGTCCTGGTTGCAGCATGAAGCGTGCCAGTTCTCTGAATGTTCTTAACATGGGTGGCAAGGCTGCTGAAGATCACTTTCAAGTAAGAAGCCCTACAATATTCTTACCAAAATAGGTGATATAGTAGGGTTTGGGATAAAAAGATTACGTAATAAATAATGGAACAACAAACTCCTGGTGATTGGCAAGATCCTACTTGAGTAAGATTTTGAAAGCATATGCTTAATGCATGATTCAGTAACACTTCTTGTGAACTATATTTAAGGAAGTGCTCAAATCTTGAGTAGAAAGCATTGGTTTTCATGATATCAAGCAGTCTCTGGGTTTGTCTAGCTATTACAATGGTTATGAAAATTCTGGAATATTATGTACTATAAACACTTAAAAAAAAAAAAAAAAACAAGCCAAGAATTTCTAAAGCTTAGGTTTTAAGTGTTTTTTCTTCAGCATCTTTATTGAAAGGGGCCCCATTGTCCTAACCTCTGTGCATTTTTAGATGTCCTTAAACATGACCTCAGTTATTTCTGAGGGTGGAGAGGAGCAGTCTCTAAAAGTTTGTCTGATCTGTGTAATGCTTTGCTAAAACAAAAGCTTAACTATATATGGTGCCCGATTGCCGCTTCCCATTTTCTGTTTTTCCCTTAATAAACCGTTGTTTCCTATATTGTCAACTAAGCTAGCAGTGTTCCACGTCCTAAACAGTGTTGTGCATTTTACTAACGCCATAAGTGTAACTAATTTTAGGGAAGTGTAATTGCTTCTGTACTAATGGAATTGCACATGAGGATCTTCCTCGCTATTTGTCTTAAAGTAGCAAGAAAGCCCAAACCGTGACTCTCATTTTGCTATTGAATGGCATACAGGTTTTGTTGCTACCTCCAATGAAAGTACTGCAGAGGTTTCTGTAGTGTGAAATGTGTGCAAGTCTTTGCACAGTGTGAACTTTAGCCAAAAAAATCCATGATGATAAAGCACAAATCTTTGTAGCAACAGTGCTAAGGTTTCCAGCTGTCATGTCCTGAGTGCCACTAAGCTGAATTCTCAGTATTTAACTGATGCTACTTCTAGGAGAATGATTTATTATTTGTGTACACACTTCAAGATACAAACAAGCTATCAACCTCTTGTGAGCTTTTCTGGTTCACCCACTGCAGACACTTGTGGTGCTTCCCACAGATGGGTATTTCTGCTTTGGGTAGGACCTGGGTTAGAATCTCAGAGGGTGTGCTGACCTCAGTAGATCTGTCTCTACTGTGCAGTAGCAGTAGTTGAAAGCTGGGGAAAAAGATTCTCATTAGAGTATGCAAGTCCCTCAACACAACGTTACAAGGTCAGTTCTCTCTAGTTCCTTATGGTTTTTTTTTTTCCTGTTAATAATTTTATTTGCTTCAGCTGTCTGGACACCTGCATAATTTATTCTTTGTGTGTTTTTCCCCCTTCACACAGGAACGAAATAATTGTCTGACAGACTCGAGAGCTCTGAGTGTCAGTCAAACTGATTTGGCGCATTGAGATTCTTGGAAAGAAGCTAGCTAATATTCCTTTGTGAATAAAGAAGCACTGAGATCTTCAAAGCTTTGGTTCCTCATCATTATGTACAGGAACACATAGTTCATAGATTTTTTTTTCGGTTTTGCAATGGACTGCCATTATTACTTCTCTAAATAGGGATAATTTAAAACATGGCGTAGGTGGGTATTTTCTTCTGAAAGAAAACTATATATAGGTATATATTGCTCATTGCACTGCTCCCATTCGTGTTACTTACATCGATTTCTTTAGGGAGTCTGAGTAAAACAGCAGCCAAACAACTGTAAAAACACAAACATATTTAAAGCATACCAAAAGGCAGAGATGTTTGAAAATGACGGCAAAATGAAATGTGTAGTAGTAAATATATAAAGTATAAAGTGCTGGAGAAAAGAATAAGTTGTGTGCATTACTGTATCCATTCGAACTGAACATACTGTATTGGTGGGGCTGTCCATCGCTCCACTGATTATTTTAATGTTAAAGACCTTAGCTAGCAAAGCAGCACTTAAACATGGATTCCTTAACCACTAGATTGAGCTAACACGTTTTATAAGAGTTGACTGGGATCATGTTACATATAGCATGAATAGGAATTCCTGTGACCATAACTTAGATACCCATTGATAAAAGTCTTAGGGCACAATAATGGATGGAGATAGGACAGCCCAAGCTGATGAGGACAAATGGAAAATATTTTGGCCTTTGTCTTGTATGGTGAAAGGACAACTGAAATTCTGGACTGCATCTGTCCCAGGGCAGCTGCTGTTGCTCCTGGGGAAATACCACCTCAGGTTGACTTTCTTGCTTGTCCACTGGAATTTGGTCCCTGTTCTCTGCGTGCTCCAAGTGCTCTGGCATTTCCCTGTGCAGATCCCAAATGCTGCCTTTCTCCACAATAGCTGATGTCAGCAGAAGCGGGCAGCTGCAGGCCAGGCTGCTGTGCTGGGAGCAGCTGCTGAGCAAAAGACCACTCCAACCTTAAGGGCCCAGTGGAAGCACGGGATGGCCATCGGTGGCAGGCAACTTCTTTGGCCACGCAGCCGTGTTACATCTACTTACAGTTACATGTATGCTGTTTGTATAAAGGACTGCTGCTGGAACCAAGTATGTAAGTTTTAAGTGTTCCATAGACACTAGTATTTCCTTTTGCTTTTCTGTAAAGCTTGTGATTTTGTTCATCTTTTGTAAAAACTTTTATTTGTGTGAAGCTGGTTGAAAAGTTTTTTTTTTTTTTTTTAAGTAGAAATGTATTCGTGGTCATAGTTGTGAGTTAGAAAATGCAGAACAAACTTAGGGAAAGCTGGAATACCCATTCAGGATCAGCACTGACTGAAGGAGCTGAGAGACAAGTTTTAGTGCTTGAACAGGCTGTGAAGAGTCTTTAGAATTAGAACTTGTTAGAAGTATTCCTCTGCTTTGGCATCTGGTTCTGAGCTGTGTTACAGTAACTGATGTGTACTGCTGCATATGTAATGCACTCGCCTATGTTTACCAGGAGGTACCTGTCAGCATCTCTCTAAAGAAAGCTGCACATGGTGCACCTGCTGCAAGGACAGTTTAGAGATGGTGAGATACAATGCTGCTAATATGTAGAAGTTTAGCACAGAGTAGTGCAATTCATTAATGAACTTGAGCAAGAACAAGTTGTTGCTCAGTTATCTTAACAATATATACTCATATAATGTAGACTCTTGAGTTTTAATCTTTTATTAAAGAGCTTTTTATATTAAAAATATATATATCTAATATATACTTATTTTTTCCCTAAAACAAAATGTGCTCTGTGCACCCACCAGTACCTTTACGTCTCTGCAGAGAGACAGGCTGAGCACTGTGCACAGAGCCCTGTGCTGGCTGCTCAGCAGGGGTAGCTGTGCCCTGTGCCAGCTCCCACTGCAGTGCTGCCGGCCCGTGGGCAGTTCCTGTGATAAGCTCTGACTGCAAACACCCCAGGGAGTCCCTCTGTTCCACAGCAGTACTGTGCTACTGCTATAGGACTGGCTCAGTGGGCCTTCCAACAGTGTTCTGTAGAGTTAAGTGTTTCACTTTGAGGCGTTTCTAGAAGCCTCACTTACTTAAAAATAATTAAAAAAACAAAACAAAAACAACAGCTATTTGGACACAGAACTGAGTTTGGCAATAAGGAGCTATTTGAAAGAAATGGAATATTTTCAAACAGTTTTGTCTTCAACATTGAAAGAAGACTCTTTGCAGACTCAAAAGTTTAAATGGAAACACAGAACTTTGTTAATGATCAAATGTACGTGAAGTTTCCAAAATGACCACAGTGTGTGAGCTTTCTCATTGAGGGCTGCACACAACTCTTACTGTTGCTAGTTTTACCAGTACTGTGCTTTTACATGTTTTAAACTCTTATGTTTTGAAGTGTGTTGGAAGGTAAGTCTGAATTGCTTGAGCTACGGTGTACTCAACAATTCTTATATTTAAATAGTTTTCTAGAAAAGAAACCCAAATTTCCTAAATCCCAAAGGATGATGGCCAAGCACTTAGAGAAGGTCTTACAGCTGTGAGGCAGTGTGCTGTTTGTAATGTGAGAGAAACTTCTACCATGCAAAAACAAACTTAGATTCGACTTGAAGTCCTTGTGTTCCCATCAGGGATCAGCTACTGCCATGGCTTGGCTCTCACACACTGCAGTTTCAGGTGGGCTGCTTAGTTTGCTTTTACATAGGATTTTCTTTATGAATTCCCTGTTCTGGTTGTAGCTAGCAGTCTGTTAAAGTACAAGACCAAAAAACCCAACTGTTTAATTTTCTTGGACATCTTCAGTACCACATTTAAATCAACAGGTCTGAAGCCAAAAGCTGAAGAAGGCCTTTGGAATGGACAGGCATCTTGGCAGGAGAACTGCAGCCTTGGTAGTACCGCTGGTTTTTAATCTGGCATGTGTTTCCTTGCTCAGAATCATAAAGCTGAACTTTTATTATAAAGGTTACAAGAAGTTGAGGTTATGCCCATGCCTCTCCTGTTTGCAGCGGCTCACTGAGGCTGGTGTGCTGCATGTAGGAACAATCGTATGCAAACCATGGACTGAAAGCTGCCTGTTGCCTTTCCCTCTGGTTGTGCAGTAGTCTTCAACAACACTGGCAACCTTTATTCTTGAGTTTGGATTGTTAGTTCTTAGTGTAAAATGTAACCGTTTCAAGATCAGCTCTTCCAGAGGAGTTACCAGGCTGCTTTGATGGCTGTGCTTGTAGTGCTGCAAGGATGGAGCACAGCGGTTAAGCAATAGAAAAGCAATGGGATGTATCTGAGTTTGTATCTTTTCTTAAAACAAAAGTCCCCAAACTTTCCAGAACTGCAGTAAATTAGAATTGGTTTTAAGCTTGAGAAATATTTGTCTAGTAATTTTGAAAAGTGTGGTTCTGTTGCAAGTATGTAGTAAAAGATGTGTAGTGCTTCATCAAAAGTGTGTTCACTGTGAGAGGAGCTCCAGTATTAGTGATGTATTGTTGATATATTATTGATGTATCCAGCTGCTAAGAGCAGTGCAGTTCGGGTTGTCAGCCTCTACTGAGAGAACAAACATTAAAAGATGTGATGCTGTGATGTTTGCTTCCTTATAACAACTTTACATTGTCACAGACATAGAAATATTTGTATCAGCGTTGGGGTTTTCTAAGTGGTTTCGAGGTAGATTTTGAACATTTACAGTTGATGTTTTTCAAACCATTCTGATAGACTCAGTACACTGATTAGTCCAGGTCAGTAGTGAAGAAAAAAAATATTTTTTAATGTTCATTTGTCATTTTGAGGAAAATAGTTTTGGTTTTATACATATATTTTTTTGATGTGTGGATTTCGTATCTGATTACAAACTTAAAGCTTTCTGAGATTGGCTTTAAGATGCAGCATTTTGCTCTGCGTGTCTCATTACTGTTGGTTACAGCAATGGAAGAAATCCAGTTCGGAGGTCCCGTTCATCTCACCCCAGAACAAATGGCATTTGTTACAAATAGTATTCACTGTCATTTCATCGAGAAACCTGTAATGAGATCATTTTGTGTTTTACTACATCTGCTTTCTAAATATATCCTCTGTGTCTCTTTTTTATCTTTACAAATTAACCTGCTTTTACTTCTCAAGAGCAGTCTGTTCCCAGAACTCAGTATGTTCCTTCTGAAAAAGGTCCCTTGAAACACATCACAGAGCTGAAGATTAATTTGAAACTGTTTAAAAGTTTTTCAAAGTGTAGAAAATATTTAAAATGCTCTCACAGGGTAAAAATGAATATACTCAACACATTCTAGAATGTAAATCTGTGTAAAAATTAGTTCCATTTTTCCTGTATAGAAACAAATTTTTGGTTGTGAAATCCAAAGATGAATAAAGCTGTATAAAGAGAAGGCTCCCAAACTGTATTTATTAAAGGTTGTGTGTTTCAGCAGTGTTACCAGACTGACTGGGGCAGATGCTTCCCCAAATCAATGACGATATCTGGTCTTCATACCCCCAAAGCCATTCTCATGTGCAGCATGTTGGACTGCAGACTGGTGGTGAGTGTGACTGACAGAAGGGGCAGAAACTGCAGCTATTACTGCTGAGCCTTAAGACATACAGTAGCCTGTATGTCAGTAGCCTGCTCTGAATGCAGTGCCCAGAGGTGCAGGCTCGGGGGTGGAGGTTGACTGATTGCTATTAATCAGCTGCACCCACCTGTGGCTTTAAAAACTTATTCTGTATATATATATAATTACAATTCACTAACTATTACAATAGGATGAGCAAATTACCAGATGAATTTACTGGGAGCTGGGCCAGCAAATAGGAGAATAATTCTAGTGGTAGCTATGCTGCATGAAACGGCAGGATTTGAAGACTGAGGTACTCATGGCTATAAGCTATTGCAATCTGATGTATTTTTTCTTTAGACTGAGTACACAAAGACTTAAAAGCTTCATTGTTGGATTTTATTTTAAAAAACAATTTAAAAAATTACTGTGGTCACTTACAAATACAGATTGGGCAACCTGGGGGATGGGGGAGAAGAGATGAAATGGGTGAGGGAAATGTGTGAAAGCTTAACAATATATGATACAAGTGGGCATCACCCACTGATCACAGCACACACCCACCAAACACAGTAAGTTTTAAGGCCTTTGGAAAGTGTGAACAAATAAGTTCATCTGGCTGTCCTTCACCCTGAATGCAGCAACGATTAGAAAAAGCACCCAGAGTAGTTAGTCTTGAGGCCAGCAGAAAAAGATGTAATAAATAGCACAAAGATGGGAAGAAAAACATGCAAAGCTCTGATAAAAGTCTCTGAGGAGAGCAGCGGCTGTGTGGATGAACAGAGCTGAAGGTGCTGGTTAGCCTTGCAGTAAGGATTATTCTCCAAAACGTTTATCTCACAAGGAGAGGCTGGTGAACTTTTATCCAGGTACAAAAAGAGCATCTTTGCACAATGTAAAAAAAAAAAAAAATCACCAAAAAACTTAATGTTGTTGTCATATCACCTTTTATGTATTTCAGCATCCTTTGCTCTAGGAAGAATTTCATTTTACTAATGGTGCCTGAAGCAAAGCAGGTTCAATGCACTTTTGGAACAGGCTACTATACTGCAGAAAGAACTTACTTAATTCCTTTCACACCTTCCAATCTTACTGTATAGCAGCAGGAGGATGGAGGTAGATGAGGAGCAAATACTACTCTTAAAGTCCTCAGGCTTGCAGGGTGGTGTGACACAGCTCCAGGTGTTGTTTCAGGTTGTGGCACTCTGCTGACCATCAGTCTCATTAGCAGCTGATTTGCCCAGGTTATTCCTAGTGCTGGAAAGACTCTGCTCTCAGCAGTACTATAAAGAAACCAGTACAGATTTCTGCATGTATGAATTTCATATGGAATATCTTGGATTCTGTTGAAACAAAATTACATTAGAATTGCTCTACTGAAACACAAATGATGTAGCTCCCAGTTTATCTAGTCTATTAAGATTAGTAGGATTCAAACAATAAATATATGTGCTTGAATGTCATTAACATCTTGATGTCAAAAGGTACTTGGACCATCTTCCTTACGCAACAAAAACAATCCATAAGGCTTGGCTGCTGTTTTTTTAAACAGACAGAAAATGCATGCAATTCTCCCAAAGAGAAGAGACACAAAAACCCTCTTGTGCAGTGAGTACAGCAGCACTGCAGGGAACCTGGCCCTGAACTTGCTGCTGAGGCTTTACTACAGAACTACACATGGTGGTTTCCTCTGCTGTACAGCACAACAGCTGTTACTGCCACCAGCAAATTCAGCACTGCTGCATAGATGCACCACTGCTGTTAGTGTGCAGTAGTTTGTGCTGGAGCTGCAGGAAGGCGCAGTGTAAATGCTGCCCTGTACAGCTCTGTTATATTTCTGTGGTGGATGACTCACCTGTAGCCATACTGCACAGCTTCTGACTCACTCACAGCATCAGTCACCTGAGGCAAAACAACAGCATTTGTAGCTGAGTTGCTCTTATGCATTTGAGTTCACTGAACAGAAGGGCGGGGAGCAAAGCCAACAAAATTCAGGTTATTGGATTGTATATTAAGCTAAGTTAGAAAAACCCATATTCTTTCAAAGCAAACTGAAAGCAACTTCTGCTAGCTATAGTGTATATGAATTTAACTTCTACTAGATAGTGAATTAGTTTAAAACAACAACAAAAAAGCCACCTGTACCATATTACCTGATTTGTCAGATCCCTTAAGGATATTCAGAGAGTTTGACTTAGTTCAGAAAACTACCCATCTCCATTCCAACTCTCAGACTCCGCAGCCATCAGAACACAGCCTTTCACACACAGGACGTTCATTTTGATGCCATACCTGATTAATGCACATTATTGGAGTCCTGAATCTGGTGCTTAAGCCGTGGAGCTGTGCTCCAAATGTCTGCAAATAACGAGCCTTCAGAACAGACTCTGAAGCTCCAAATTCACATCGAAACAAAGCAGCAATGGAATCGATGACCACTAACCGCACCATGCCTCTTGTGAGCAGGAGGGAGAGCTTCTTTGTAATGCAGTTGTGGAAGGTGTCCTGTCCCCAGAATGCAAACAGACAGCATTAGAACAGTTCAGATTTGTAAAAGTGAGATGGTCACTTACCAGCTCTTGTCACTGAAATGCAAGCTGGTGGCGTTTCTACTCATAAAACAAGTTTGCAGATTTGAAGTCTCACTATTTTTAGCAGATATCTTATGATTTTACATGAAAAAATTAGAGAGAAGCTGTGCATGTACAACTTACTGCAGTTATTTGCAGCTGTTTTATGTACAGACATCTTAAAATCTCAAGAATGCAGTAATACAAATCCTGAACAATTCCTGTTTTGCGGGATGGTTCTCACTGCAATACTGAGAACTCAAGACCAGCATTAAACATCCCAAACAGAAGTGACTGAACTGCTGTTTCAGTAATTAAATACTGTGAAACCACCAAACATGGCAGTTGTAAGAAGTTTAACACTCTGCAGCATGCAACTTCTTTCATGCAAGTATTAGACAAAAGGGTCTTGCAGCCCAGTGGTCTACAGCAGTTTATATAAAGGAGAGCAAGCACATGGTGACAGTCTCAGCTTCTGGCCAGCTTGTTTCAATATGGCCAAAAAGGTGATCATGTGAATCTCAGTTCTTCTGACTGTGCCATTTCAGCTCTCCACAGCTTTTACAACTGAATTGTGATTCTGAGTCTGATTTGCATAAGATCCATTCTATTATACTAACTGTTGTTTTTTGGTTGGTTTTTTTTTTTCCCCCTCAAAATCACAGACTTTATAACATCAAAGACATTTGATTTTTTTAAACGAGGGGAAAAAAGCCCCCTACGTATCCTGATACACACACATACAACAACAGAATCGATGCACTGCAATATGTGAATTGTGGTCATCTACCATGCAGCTGCTTTGCTTTCCAGCAAGCAATGTTTTACCTTTTCTCCAACAACTGGAATGTTCTAACAAGTGCTACTTTCGAGCCTTACAGAAAACAAAACTTTCAGTGTTCCATCAGTAAACAGTGTACTCACAGCCACTGAAGGATGACAACCTAAATGGCAAGAAGGCAGCATTTTTTCCTTCTAAAATACTATGAGTCTGCTGAAGAGGTGTGGCAAGACAGCTGCACTGCAGTTATGCTGTGCATTACTTATTCTAGGCACAGGTTTTTGCATTCTTTCCTTCTACCTGTCACATTTTCAGTTTACTCTGGTGTTGTACTGCAAGTTACTCTGGATGCACAGAGCACCTTCTGCATATTTATTGGTATTCTGTCTCCAAATTCAGTGAAGGAGCTGCAATAAAACTGTATCCTGATTTTGGCTGAGATTTTCTTCATAGAGGCTCCTACGATGCTATGTTTTGGATCTGTGATTAAAATAGCCAGGGATAACATGCAGCTGTTTTGGTCTCCTGCAACAAAAACCTCCTCTGGTTACTGGATTACAGCACTGCAATCGTGTATTTGTAAGCTGTGCTGTGACTTACCAGGTCTGCTGCGTGCTCAACAAAGATACTGTTCCCAAACCTGATCTTTTGTATGATTTCAGGTGGCACATCTGCACGCAGCTTATGCTGTTGAGCTATCAGCTGGTGCAAACGTTTACTTGGGAATGCATCTTCTGTACAAATGTAGACAGCTCCTGCAATCACAAAAGCATCCTCTGTTACTGCAGCATGACAGTTTTCCTAACGGTACAAAGACAAAATAACCACACACAAGCTAGGCATACCTAACTGGAAATTCATTTTAGTTTTTAGCACCCATACTGAATTGATGATGAACATCACCACCACCACTGTGACTTTCTTGTAGCTGCCAGGTGCTTTTTGTCGCCTGCTGAGTTTTATTTTGTGCTCCCCAGCAATCCACTAGGTGACACTCTTCCTGCGCGGCTGCTGAACGTCTGCCTGCCTGCCTGCGATGATTACAAGCACTGTAATGTAACCCACAGAGAGTGATAACCTTTCTTTAAAACTGCACATTAGATACAAAAAGATTACAGTTCAATCAATTACATGTGTGATGTATGATGTTCAATCACATCACACAATCAATGTCCATACAGTTTTACTGTGGGTTCTGGTTCACGAATGTGCGTTATTACTGAGAAAATTAACTGCACACATCAAAGATGTTGGAGAAAAAAATAAATACATGCAATATTTTCTTTGCCAATTTTCTTTGGCACTAAACTTCTTCGGCTCAGTTCTCAATCCCTCCATAAATTCTTATAGAAATCACTGCAGTTCATGCACTCCCAGTTAGATTTTCAGTTTCTAAAACATGAGCAAGTCAAGAGAAACCTCTATAACAAATTTGATGTTACATGTATTCAGCATCAATATTTGCTTCCATGAGCCAATTATGGCTTGCAACATTGAATTTCAAACTAGTGAAAACCACGCTAACTTGTGCTGAAATATCCTTAGGCTAAAGGAACCCCTGGAATAAAACATTCTAGACTTTCCAACTACCATTCTTATTCACAGCTGATTACCTTTAGCACAGCACTTCCTAATTCAGACAGACAGCCATTTCTTTACCACAGATACTGACTTACGGAGAGAGCATCTGCTTTTTAAAAATCAGTCTGACAAAATGATGTCTGACCAAAATGGTGGAAATGCGTATGGAGCAAAGGAGTGCCACTGATTTCCTCATGCAGACAAAACGGCGCCCGCTGACATTCATTGACCCTTGCTGAACATTTACAGAGAGCAAACAGTGGCTGTGAGCACAGCGAGGCAGTGGGTGCTGCATTTCAGCAGTGGTCACCGTGGGATCACCACCACTGGTGCTGATTGTCATGAGTGCAGCACACGGCTCTTGTTCATTGCTGGTGAAAATGCACAGCTGAACGTGGTGACTGTGTTGAAAAACAGTGTTTTGTAGCTGAGAATCTGTCCTGTCAAACAGTATTACTGTGCTTGTCGTGGCTGCTGTAAGTTCCACAGATATAAGTAGGAGGCATTACTTTTGGAGCAAGCTATGTGGCCCAAGAGAATTCCTCTTCACTCAGCACGGCCCAGGCAAACCAAAATAACTAAAACTACTCAACTCGGTATCAAAGGCTGATGCCTTATCATGACTCCAAAGCACTGAATACTATTCACATACTTTAAAGGATAAATTGCCGTAACCTAAATAAAAAGAGAAGATTGGTACATAAACAGAAAATCCCATGGCATCCCCCTGTTTACAGTTTACTAGGAAAGCCTCATCACCACCCACAACACAAGAGTCAGGGTGTTTTTCACTTCTCAGAAGGAAGGTGGGAGATACACTTAAGAAATCAGTCATCCTCAGTGATCCTATAAACATCTCTTCTTACAGTCCCACAACTGGGATATATTTTTCTTCAAGAATTGCAAGAGATTGTTACACAAAGTAAGAATTTTCAGTCCCGTGAACCCAACCTGCCTGCACCAAACCAGCCTAGTTAACAAGAAGCAATAGCAAACATTTTTTTCTAATTCAGAATTCTAACATGGATATGGATGTCACATTACATTCATGTATTACTCATGAATATGGGCATGGAAAACAAATTCAGCCAATATGCAATAGACCATAACCGACATTCTTAGAATGGCAGAAGGATAACCTTGAGGCAAAGAATGTCCTAATTTCTTGGTTTACTGCCAGCCTTCCAGAACTGAGAATTGTAAACAGGTTTAGTATGAAGTCAAGCAAAGAAAACACACAATAAATCTATACTGTGTAAAGAAATGTAATTCAACATTTCCATCTAAGGAGGAAGGAGACCATCTAGCACTTCCATCAGCCTTCTGCCCACCTCTAAAACGTAGCTGTTCTCAACAAGCAATACCAAACTTGCCTGTTGTATTGGAAAAAAAACTGGAAAAGCCACAAAGCATGAAGTTGGCAATTTACACTTTGCTGCTACCATTTAGCATCTAGAAAGCCTGACAAGAGCTCTTACCTTTCACCAAAGCATAACCTTGGAAAACTGGATAAAAACCTGGACTCCCAAAGCAGTAATTAATTTCTGACCACACCGACACAGAGACCAAAAGGTTCTAGTTTAACACTCCAAATCCCACCACAGTGGTGCACAGTGCACTTTAACACAGGAAGGAACTGAACAGAATGTATCTGCTTCTGTTCTGATTAATGACAAAACTTAAACCGAAGTAGGGTCAGCTAAAATGTAATTTCTGCCTATTAAATTAAACCCAGGGCAGCATGGAAAGAAGAGTAAGACTGCTGCCAAATCACACTGATGGCATCAGGAGTAAATCCTTCCATATGAGGGCACTGAGGCCCTGGCACTGCTGCCCAGGGAGCTGTGAATATCCCACCTCTGGAGGTGCCCAAGGCCAGGCTGGAGCCCTGGGCAGGTTGAGCTGGTGGGGGGCAGCCCTGCCCACAGCATGGAGGTGAAACCGTGTGGTCTTTCAGGCTCCTTTCAATTCAAACCATTCTGTGATTCTATAATGTTCTTACAGACAGTACATTCCTTCAAATGGCAAATCAATCAATATTTACATGTCAATACTTACCCGACTCTAATCCACCATATCTGTAAGGATACTGCACACAAAGACACAGCTGCAAACCAATCTGAGTCTTCCCAGCAGAACTTTCCCCAGCAAGTTCTGTGATTCCCACTAAAGGAATGCCACCTTTCAACAAGTCATCAAGCACTGAACATCCCAGGCTTAGCTTCTGGCACTGGGAGGAGAAACAATCCTTATCTTGGTAGAGCTGAAGTGCTGTACGGTTTTTTAAAGGATTAAAAAAATAAACAGAAAGAAGGAAAAATTCACTTAGTATCCTTCCAACGCACAGTGATGCAGTACAGATGTTGATGCTGTAGATTTGTACCTACAAGGGAGGCCTCCTTTGTCAATGGGAGAATTCCCAAGTTCAGCCCAGGCTTCCTCACAGAACCTACTGATTGAATGCCTGTTTAAAAACCAAGAAATTACCCTGAGCTGGAAAGCCTTTTCCTTTCTTTGCCTCTAAGGAGTCTCTATGGGAAGATCTTGCTGACAGTGAAACAGCACCGCTGGCATCTGGCCAAGGCCTAAAGCTATATGCAGCCCACAAGGAAATAGATTCTGATAGCAGAGCAGCCATGCAGCATTTCTGCAGGGAGAGCTATCAGATCCAGCTTCATTTGGAATTAAGTGATCACATAAAATCAGTTTACATAGTTTATAACATACCACGCAAACTTTTCAACCAGCCTTGGTGCAAAAGGAAATTATTGAAAGAAGGAAAGAAAGAAAAAAAAATCTTGTGTTCCTCCAATCAAGTTTTCCAGACTGGAAAATTATTTTGCTGTTTTAAGCTGGCTTGGTCCCAAAGAATGGCTTTGATAAAATTCCATCTACTTTCAAGGTTCCACAGGAGCTGCCCTTAAGGTAATTAAATAAGTAACTGCAGCATAACTCAACTTTTCACTTTCAGAACCACATCACTGTGTCAGTGAGGAACCAAGCTCATATCTGCTCACCATCACAGTATTTCCAGGTTTACAAAGAACAGTTTTTTTTAAATACTGACTTTATTACCTGTAAGCATACAGTTTTTCCTCAGAGTGCGAGAAACCGTTTTCAGCAAACACTCCACATCTGCACTGGACAGCTTCATCAACCTTTGCAAGTCTGCTCCAGAAAGATTTAACACCTCTTTTATTGATTTTATGTCAGCTGAAATGAAGAGAAGCTTTATAAATACTTCCTGCTGCATCGCAGTCGTGCACAAAAGCTTTCTGACTTTGTTTCCTTGAGCTCTGCGTACAGGACAATCTGTGCAGGGAACCTTTACTTCGAATGGATCAAAATAATGCCACGGCATTTGGGAATGACCACTGGCACGCGGCGAAAAGCCATCGCTTCTAATTACTCAGAACACTTGCTTAGAAAATATTAAATGACCGCTCCAAACGTCAGCACAGCCCTGTGTGCCGCCATGCAGAGCACGCAGCCCCACGCAGGCGGGCGCTACATGACGGCAGCTCACGCCCCCAGGGCGCGTTACCTTTCTTAAGGGCAGCAATCACCTTCGGGTTCAGGTCAAACTGGTCCCAGTCCATGTCCTGATACGGCACTGGGGTGAACAGAGCATGAGGGAATCGTTATTTGTTAAGTCGGGTATACAGGCGATGAAACGTAAGCATGGTTGAATGCGAACACTTCGAGGGAACATCGCGGATCCCGCACTGAAGCGCAGCGCGACCGCCCCGCTCAGCGCCTCATCCCCACGCACCGCCTTAGCGCCGGAAACACACAGCGCCGTAAGGCGCGGCACCGTCGCGCGCGCCGCCTTTACGACAGCGGCAGTCGCACGAATACGGCAGGAGGCCGCGCGGGCGCTCACCTGTGGGGCGCGGCGGCTGCCATGGGGCCTGGCGGCAGGCGGAGCGCGGAGGGAAAGACGAGCGCTACTGCTAGGCGGCACCTACGCAATGCGGCATTCTGACGAGAGTTTAAGCTCGCTGAAATTGTCTGTGGCTACTCCGGCCTCTGCCCGGGAGGTCTGCGAGCGCTTAGCGCGACGGACGTCGGCCACGGGCAGCGGCGGAGACGCCGCGCGGCCCAACCCGAGATCACCTCAGCGCGTCCCCTCGCCAGGCCTTACGACCTCCGCGCCGGAGCCGCCGCAGCCAATCGGTGGGCGGCCCGCTCGCGACGTCACCGGTTGCCGGCCTATCAGAGCGCCTCACGGCCCGGGCTCCCCGGCGCAGCCAAGGACCGGGCGGGGCGCCCTCCGCTCCGGCAGGGCGCTGTTCCGGGAGGCTGGGCGGGGAGCCCCTTGTTTCCGGGCCGCGAGGCCGGCCGCTCGTTCTGCGCACGCGCAGCGAGCCCCCAGAGGGGCGAGGAAGGAATGACGCGCCCGCCTTCAGCCGCGAACGATGCAGGATTGGCTGGAAGTGTGCGGGTGGTCTCTATTGGTCTTCTCGAGCGGGAGGGCGGGACCGGCGAGACGCCGCTTCCCATTGGTCCAGTGCCGCGCCCGTCCCGAGCGGGCCGAGCGGTCATTGGGTGGCAGCGCTGCCAGTCCCGAGGGGCGAGTAGCGGCGGCGGAGTGTCGGGGGAAGATGTCGGGCTGCGAGGCTCGCGACGCCAAGAAGCTGGTGCGCTCCCTCAGCGGGCTGCGCATGGTGCCCGAGCACCGCTCCGCCCGCAGCCCCTTCGGCCTGGACGAGCCGCCCTGGGTGCCCGACAAGGAGGTACGGGGGCGGGCGGGGGGTTCTGTCAGCCTGCGCGCCCCCGGGGCCGTTTGCGGGGCCGCGTCGGGCGTTAAGCGCGCGGCTCAGCGGGCGGTGAGGCCGGCCGGCGCTGCGCCTCCAGGGCCGTGTGCTGGGCGGTAGGGCAGCTTTGCTTTTCAGCGCTCGTTACGTACGCTCTGTGATCGCGACGTCCGTCCAGGTTTGCTGTAACGTGCGTCGGTCGGTCGTTCCCCGTTCCCGCAGCCCGGCGCTGGCGGGCACAGCGGCTGTTTATTCAGCGCGGTTGTTTGCTTATTGCCGCCGCGCTGCGGCCTGGACTCGCGCCAGCGCGTTGAATTGCCGTGCGGCCCCGGCTGGGGAGGAGTTTTGACGGGGCTCCGGGGATGTAAGCGGGCAGTCGTTAAGCAGAGGCGTTCCTCCCGGCTGGGGACAAGGAGGAGAGTGCCGCCCTGCAGCGGGACGGCGCTGCCCGTGCCTCCTGCAGCACAGCTGCGATCGGTCCGGGTCTGCACTGTGCGTACCTTGGCCTCTGCTGCCCGGACACCTGAGGGCTGGCGGTCATTGGGCGTAGCTGGAGTATGGGTCACACGACCACAGAATGGTTGGGTTGCCAGGGGCCTCGAAGCCCACCCAGCCCTCCGACAGCTCAAGCTGCCCAGGGCCGCATCCAGCCCGGCATTGGGCACCTCCAGGGCTGGTTGGTTAACTTACACTAGAAGTAATTTCCTCCCTGACGTTGAACGTGGCTTGATATTTTAGCAAGTTTCAATTATAGCAGAAGAATTCCATTAAAAAGAAAAAAAAAAAAAAAAAAAGTGCTTTTAACTCAAATATGTAGTGCCATCTTAATTCAACTGAAAGTTGCTTGGGGTTTGTGGTAGGTTTTATTTAAGCTAGTTAGATATGTATTTAAGAATTGATGTATCTAAAATGTGTTAGTCACTAGTAGAGCTCAACTGGAAATGTTCTCATAGAGGAAATGCTGCAGTAAGAATGCTGGCAGGTTGAGAGGTGGCCAGGGCTCCAAAGATCCACCTGTGTCCCAGATCTCACATGGCTGAGGACCACACACCTGTGTGAGGGGAGCTACTGGTGGGACTCTGGGCTCACAGCAGAGTGGAGCTGTGCTTTATGTGGCCGTGTGACAGAGCTGCTCTCCTGCTCATAGCAAACTCATGCAGCTCAGGCAGAGGATTGGTCACATGTGGCTATGGTATTATCAGAAGGCATCTCCTACTGGCATCCTTCTGGCTGGGCGTGTTACGACACCTGTTTTGATGAGCTTGCAAACCTTCACATTGTCACACAGTCGCTGTGTTAATGTGCTTAACCAGGTGTAAGCTTGCATCGCCTCTCACGTCAGGTTGTTATTGTATATGCAAATATATGAAGTATAACTATAGCTTCCTGTCTATCTGCATTGTTCCCACTTCTGTCCGGATCTAAAATGTTGCACTAATTCCTTATCACACTTCAACAACTGCATCAGAAGTTCCTCTCAGCTCGTAACCAGTTCTCATTGCTCCTGCATTATTACCAGCACCCAACGTCTGGTTCCTCTTCCATTGTCATCTTGGTGTATGAAGTAATCTGATACCATTGATTGTGAAATCAATGTATTAATGATTTTATATTAATTTTTACTTAATGTTTTATTTTCTATCTTCTTGGTTCTACGGCAGTAGTTTTGAAAAGCCTGTGCCTTGAAGACGTGAAAAGTAACTCAAGTGCCATGCTTTGTTTTCTGTTGATGTGAACAGACTTGAGCAATCTGCCTGCCTGTGTCATAAGGATGAATGGGAAGGATTTACCTTTAAGGATGATCTCCATTTGCGAGCTGTTCCCAGGCCAAGTCGTGATGCGGATGGGTTCTCATGGTTGTGGTTACTTAAAGCAGAAATGCCAAGAAGGAACAACGTGTTGAGGCTGCTTGGATTGGAACAATTCAGTACCAAAACCCTGCTGTGATAGCTGCTAGCACGTGCCATTTCCTTCTGATTTATAACTGTGCTGTGCATTGGGTGTGGCATTGGAATTGGTCTGGAGGTTAGGAATATTCTTCTACAAAGTCAGTATGAAATATGAAGGATAGTTCCGTTAGTTGCTGAAGAGCAACTTGTGTACTTTAACCTAATGTTATCTGTGAAACCTATTCAAGTTGGGATTTAGAAGAGTATTCTCTCCCTGGTTTGTGGCTTGTGCTTTCTGCTTTCTGTCCAGAAGCACAGATTTGCTTGAAGAAAATGAATTGGACTCCTGGTAAACTCAGGGTCTTTTGAAATTCTTGCCATGCTCAGTCCCAAACCATGAAGTGTGTCAAAACTTAAATCAGTAAAGCAAGGTCGATGTAGACCAAAATGTGGTAGTAGCTGTAGAGCACTACAGAGCAAACCTTGGCACTGCAGGTGCCGAATGCTGGTGGATTGCAGTCAGTGTCTGTGAGAAGCAGCTTTTATGGAGCCACTGAGACGGGAGGTGGTTGGGGATGAACTCAGTTACATGAAACAGTGCAGGAGCACTTCTGTTTTGTGTGGAATTGAGAAACAGCTTCCTGTACCAGACATTGCAGCATAGTTATTTCTGCTCTATTAAAGCAACTGCTGCTACTGATTTGTTAAGCCTTTTGTTTAGGTAAATGCTTTATATAGAACTGGAGTTACAAGAAACTGAACTGTTTCTGGAGATTTTTCTCCTTAGCTGCTGTTTTTTTGGCTGTAGCTGTACAACATGGGATGGTGATTGAGAAAGGGACTTCTGTTTCACATCAGAAATAGACTCCTGAAGCTGCTGTAAGCAGAGAGAGTTCTTAGAAGATAATGAGTTTGGTATTGAAGTGTATTAATTAGAAGCAAATGGTGATGACTGTGTGCTAAGCAAATAGTGGCTCAGCCTAGGGCAGGTCACGGAGATGATGTTCAGCTGAACTCTGTGATGGCCTGGCTGCAAGAGTTCAGGTTTCTACAGCTGTAGGAACTCAGGAAAGAATGCAGCTATGAATACATGCCTTTGTGGAGACCCAAACACAAGGAAACATGTTAAAGGTATCTGAAATGCCATTCTGGCAGGATGCAGTACTCCTTAGGGTGAATGATGTTGGCAAATCTTCCGGTTAACATTAATTTGTACTGTTTTCTAGTGCCCGAGATGCATGCAGTGTGATACGAAATTTGACTTCATAACTAGAAAGGTAAGAGCAATCAACAAAATATAAAGCTTTAACTGCTGCAGTGTGCCAGTATGGACTCTGATATGAGATGTAGATGATTGAGTAGAATTTCATGCCAAGAGTAAGGGATGGTATAATAGTTTTCCTTTCTGTTCTGCCTGTTCTGGGTGGAGGATGAGTTTTTTCTCACTCAGTTCCATTTCTGTGACATTCCTTTCGCTCAGTTTGTACCACACAGTTTGGGTTTTTTCAAAGTGCCAGGTGCTACCAGCTGGGTTTGCATGAAAAGGACACGTTGGAGCTTGTGCTGGAGTGGGCTGCCAACACCAGCACTGGCACTGAAACCAAATTAATGAACACAGTTCTGCTTTCAGACATGAAATTAGTTGTGGCAGTGTGAACTAACGATGTTCTCAGGTGTAATGAGTTACAGTCTGACATGAAAGAGCTCAGTTGTTACAATGAGAGGAGAGCTGAAAGCCGGATTGTCCCTCTGTTCTACAAGCAAAACAGGATCTGTCTCATGGTCAGAAAATGTTCTGCTGACCATGGGGGTTGTGCGGCCTCCTGGAAAAGCCAGCACTGATTTTAGCAGAGTGATGTTCCTCTGTGTGAGTGCACTGACACTCTGTTAGCTGTGCTGGTGGAAGTGGGACTTGAAATGCACTGACATAGTTGATTTTTTTCATCTATTTTTTGAAGAGAGAAGGAAGGAGAAATCTTAAAGCGGACATAGTAATGGATTGGCTGCAAAGCAGTAATTCATTAGGCTGCTGTATTTAACTTCTGTTAACTTTGGGAAGTAAATGGAGGTAGCCAAGTGTAGCAAGTATTTCAGAGGACTGTGTAACACTCGAAGTTTAACAGTGATCAGGAGTGCAGTGTATCACTTCCTTGTGTCAAGCATTTGAGGCTTGCTGTGAGCCACAAAGCAGGTCCTGCTCGCCTGGGAGCACTTGTTCTGACACGAGCTGCTGAAAGCTTGCATCAGGAAGAACTGCCAGGGCTCCACACCCCAGGAGTGATAGGAGCACAAGCCACTTTTTGAAGCTGTGCTGATTTTGCCATGTCTGATTTGAACTAACATTACAGCTTGGTTGGATTTGCACTGTGCTGCTCAATGTTTCTGATAGAGAGAGGACTTCAGGTTTAAGCTAAGTTCTGTAGCTTTTTCCATGGGAAACATTTGAGAACAAGTTTAAAGGGAGAAGAACAGAATCTGCAGTTGAAGCTTAGAAGAGACCTAGGAACTGCTCTTCTCCATTTTTATTGTCAGTGAGGCAAGGAAGGGATTTACTGCACTTTGGGTAAAATCCTTTCAGTGTCTCACTGGTCTGCTTCAGAGGTGTGCTGTCAGTGCCAGCAAAAGCTTGCAGTGCTGTTCATATTGCACACCACTCTCAGGGCTCAGTCGTCAGAGAGTTCTTCCCACAACTACAGCAGTTAATTGCCATTTACCTCTTGGCTGCTGTCCTGCCCCTTCAGTGTGAATATTTCACAGCTGAGAAACTTCTGGTTGTTGGGTAGGAGGGTGTTTAATGTAAGAACTTTATCACGTTATTCCCTAACCATTTATTCTGTAAACAAATAAAACATTCTCTCACGCTCAGCATCACTGCCGAAGATGCGGAAAGTGCTTCTGTGACAAGTGCTGCAGTAAAAAAGTGCCTCTGCCTCGCATGTGCTTTGTGGACCCTGTGCGCCAGTGTGCTGAATGTGCCCTCATCTCACAGAAAGAAACAGAGTTCTATGACAAACAGCTTAAAGTGCTCATGAATGGCAAGTACTGACTGCGTGTGTACGTTGTTTTGATCTCACTTACATCGATAAAAATGCTGTGTTAAAAAAACATCTGCTCAACAGCAAGATTAATTTCTCTCGTCAAGTTGTTGTGCTGCCATTTTCTGTCCTTAAAACACTTCCTTGTTGTGTTTCTTGTTTGCACTTAATTCTGTATCACCAACTTATTGAGAGAGAATAAAAACAAAAAGTCATTCAAAACAAAGAACACTTGAATGCCTCTGAGGACTGATACGTGTGCAGTTGGCATTTTATTAAAATAGTCCATCTCTTAGCTGCATTTCTGTTGCACTAAATAAGGATGAAAAATGATTAACAACAGAGATTTTGATTTTCTTTTTGATGAGATACTGTGCTTTTTTTTATTTTTTTTTTAAGCTTTATCTGTGAGCTTTGATCTTGTTCACAGCCTGTGGATGTGATTGGTGGCAGGACAGTTCTGCACAGCTTTAAAGCTACATGCAATAAAGGAATTCACATTCCAATTACATTAAAAAAAGCTGAGTTTTCAGTTTTGAAAATACTCTGATGGTTCATGGCCTTACGATGGGCTCTTTACTGCTGGCATGTTACATGTGTGTGTAACCAGTATGCTAAACCACAGCCTGATCAGTTCATCAGGAGATTCTAGGGTCCCAATACAAGAAAGACAGGGAGCTGTTGGAGAGGGTCCAGAGGAGGGCGACGAAGATGATCAGGGGGCTGGAGCACCTCCCCTATGAGGACAGGCTGAAGGAGCTGGGCTTGTTCAGCCAGGAGAAAAGAAGGCTGCGGGGTGACCTCATTGCAGCCTTTCAGTACCTAAAGGGAGCCTACAAAGAGGAGGGGAATCAACTCTTTGAAAGGGTAGATAACTGCAGGACGAGGGGAAATGGTTTTAAGTTGAGGGAGGGGAGATTTAGGTTGGCTGTCAGGGGGAAATTCTTTACAGAGAGAGTGGTGAGGTGCTGGAACAGGCTGCCCAGAGAGGTTGTGGATGTCTGTCACTGGAGGTGTTCAAGGCCAGACTGGATGGGGCCCTGGGCAGCCTGGTCTAGCATTAAATGGGGAGGTTGGTGGCCCTGCGTGTGGCAGGAGGTTGGAGATTTATGATCCTTGAGGTCCTTTCCAACCCTGTCCATTCTATGAAGGGGGCATGTTTTCATCCCTGTAATGCACAAACCATTCATCAGTGTGCTGGGCAGGTAATAGTGATGATAATTTTTGAAATAATGTACATTAACCTGAAGATTTTCCTTGAAAAAGTTTGCCCTCCTTGCATTCATGTTATGCAGCTGAAGTGTGGGGTTACTTGTGGCTTACCACAGCCCCACAGATCTCGGAGCAGTGGTTGTTTTGATGTCCTTGGTAGCTTTGCTGCTCCTGCAGGTCTCGTGTCAGCAGCAACCTGTGTGTCTGCATTGAGGGGTCAGCGAGGTGTAGTGAAGTGGGAAGCTGGCAGAGAGGTGAAGCTCTGAGGCTTCGTGGTATGGACCATAGGGTTGGATCACAGGCCATTTGGCAGTGCTCTGTGTTAGTGTTATTTCCCAGGCCAATGCTATTGGGATTAGGCAACAGAGGGAGTATGAGGTATGGAGGAAATAAAGTGGTAGGCGTATCATCTGCTTTAATTTATGAATCACTTCAATACTAAGATAACTTTCCTGATGTCAAAAGAGTTGTTTTGAGCAGGTGGGAAGCATAAGATGAAGGCAGAAATTTGCTGACCTCACAGTAAGGCTGAGCTGGTCTTCAGCACTGAAAAAGGTGGTGTTTCATCTCTGTTAAGCACACAGCTGACACTCGCATCCTGCTATTGATTCTTCTGTGTAATTTTGACTTGACAACATCTTTGTTTTTGTCATCCTCAAACCTGTTCTCATTTCTCAAGTATTTGTCTTAGATATAGTCCACATTTCTACAGCATGCGGGTAAAGCAACATCTAACTGTGAACAGACGTGATGCAGAACATAACTAAAGACTTTATATGTTCAATGTGTTAGGTGCAGGAAGCAAAATTTAGTTATCCTTTTTGATGCTTCCATATTCCTCCCTAAATACTGCATTAGAATACTGAAGCTTTTCTTTCCAGGTGCTACGTTCTTTGTAACTCTGGGAACGTCGGATAAATCGGAGCTCATGGTCTGTCGGCTCTCCAACAATCAGAGGTGAGGACAGTTGATAGAAATAGCACTTGTGAATACAGCTGTATTATTATATAGTAATCCAAACATTTGATTTGGATTTGATATTGTTGACAAGAAAATCAATAATTTTTTTTTTCTTTTGTTATAAAGATACCTGGTTTTGGATGGAGATAGCCATTACGAGATTGAAATTGTACAAATTTCAACTGTTCAGATACTTACAGAGGGATTTACTCCTGGAGGTAATATTTTCATTAAATATGAATTAAGACCAATGTGGAGCTGTAATTATTGTTCAAGCCAGACAGTGCATTTCTGGGTTATTGATAGTTCAGGTGTAAGTGTGTTATTTACAACAGTTGCTGAAATAGTGTTGTGCATGGAAAACCTTCCATGTGGCTGCTGGGATTCTGGGGGGAGCCAGAATTCAGAAATGATTTTAGAGCACTAAGATGAGAGAATTTCTTGGTAAACCAAAGTAAAGGTGGTCATCTCATCTGATCCTTTCTCTTGGCTGAACTTCGAGCTCGTAGAAGGGAGCTGTCAGTTCCAGTTTCAGAGTCCAGCCAGGGTTTCTCTTCTGTTTGTACAGACAGTTCAGAGGAGAGTAAGAGAAACTGTTTAAAAACATAAAATTGTGCTCTTAATTTCATTCAAGATGAGGGGGTGGCTAAATTAAACTGGTAATGTTTTCAGAAGGCAGCTGCTTACTGCTTCACCTCTTGACACATTTCACAGTATTTCAGGATGAACATGATTTCATTGAAATGAGAACAAATGGGGTCAGGAATTTTAATGATTACTTGTTAGCAACGTCTCTGGAATCTTTAATTGGACAGTCTATCAGTACAGCATGTTAACTTTAATGAACTTGATATTCAAATCAACCGAATGTGTTGCTGAGTTGCTTAATGCTCCTGTAATTTCTTGTTCATTACTCTTCTGATTGCTTTATCTTTTTGCCTGCCTGCCTTCCTTCTTGATGGTAGAAAAAGATATTCACACTTACACCAGCCTTCTGGAGAGCCAGCATATTACTGAAGGTATCACCAGTACCTTTTGTGAGCACAGCTCCCTCCAGCATGCTGTTATGACCCTCTCCCAGCTGCTTTCCTATGCAGTGTCAGCTTATTGCTTGATGCGTGTCTGTTCAACTTAAGACAAGTTATGTTCCAGGACTGATTATTCCTTCCCGTCTATTTAATAAACTGAGAATGATTGTTTTGTAACTCTTTGGAAGAGAACTAAAATACTTGAGTCCTTTTTTTGACCACGTGTGCTACTGTCTGCCCCTGTAGAGGACAGATGAGAAATTATCTTCAGTGGCATGCAGCTTTGCACATCACCCTCTTTCAACAGAGGTTTCCTGAATTGTGCACACCAGAAATGAGTGATGTATTTCCTGTGTATTGTTGTCTAGTGCATGGCAGTTAGTTTGACAGGGTAGATGCAGTAGACGGTGATAAAGATGGTGAACTGCAGTCTGTCCTACAAGATGAGGAAGTAACTGTTTATAAACACTGTGCACTTTTGATCACATTGCTTTGACCAAGATGGTCTTTGTTTGGCCTCTGGATATGAAGGTAACGGCTTCCAGGAGCCTTTCTGCTCACGCAGGCAGTTCTTGTAAAAATGTCCTGTATATGTGTGCTGTCGCTGTGGCTTTAGTTTCTGCTCTGCTACTTCAGTAAATGAGCTCCCCAACAGAGTGAATGTAAAGCAGCAGCGTGCTATTCTAAACAAAGCTTCTGTTCAATTTCTGTGCATCTGGTTTGGTTTATCTTAATTTCTATGCAGCTAGAGAGACATAAGCACCTTGTTATTGCACTGCTGTCAGAACAATGTCTTTCGTAAGGGATTTCCTTCAGGAAATAAATGACATTGTTGCCTGTTGCCGGGTACTCTTGCCAAATTCCCAAATGCTGCCAGATTTGGATCAAGCAAGGATTCCTATTTGATACTGGTCTTACTGGACACCAGTAATTCTGTTTAGAAACCGCAGGCTGTGTTGTGAAACCACATTATCTATTTGAGACAGATGGTAATATTGAAATATGAGGGTTTTCTCAATGTGTGCACCAGTGGTTTTTACAAGTTCTGCCTCAGTGATTGCAGGAGGGAAGTAAGCAATACCACATCTGCACATTCCACATCCCATTGTCTACCTTTTGTCACTGCTTCCTCTGATCCTTTTAGTTCACCTGTCAGTGCTTTGAATTCAGTGCTAAGATGCTCTCTCTAAATGTGATTATTACCTAAAAAAAAGGTTGTGCTGATTTAGTTGGTAAAACACTGCTATTCAGGATTTCTGTTGTTGTTTTCAGGAGGCAATACCCGTGCCATAGGTATGATTCTGCAGTATAAAGTACCAGGATCAGAGGAGTTAACACAGATGAAATTTACGGCCAGTGAAGACTTCAGCTCTAACAAGAAGCTGTCAGCAAGCTGGCTGGCAGCTATGCATAAGGTAAGCAAGGGAGGCAAATCTTACAGAAGGCTGAAGAAAGTAGTAGCAGTAGAGCATGCAGTCCTTGTAGCTTGCTTTCTTTTTTGTTATTCTTCTTAATGTACAGATTTTAAGGCTTTGTTCATAAGAAAACAGAAGCTACAGCTGCTTGCTATGCCTCTGGCCTTATACTGTTTGTGGAGGGAATTAGTTTGACAGTAATTTTTTGCTTTCACATTAGGCAACAAAACTTCTTTATGAGTCTCGGGACCAGTAAGAAATGAGCAAACTGCTGGCAGCTTGAGAGCAGACACCAGCCTCGGAGGACCTACATCTCACTTTGTGCTAATTTGACAACTGGTTAACACTTTCTCTTGACTTTTTCTCATTCCAGTGTGGTTCATTATGTAAGAACTGGCAAACACAATGTATTTCTGTTTTGAACCATGAGTATTCACTATAGCGTGCAATATGTATACAATTAATGCTTTAAACAGTCTCACCTTTTAAGACTTTGTATATTTTGTTAAACCTTTATTGCCTTTATTGGCACTTAATATGAAATACGAAAGTGACCTGCACTACAGCTAATGTACAGCACAACTTTTGTAGTAACAATTATATATACTGTTTGCCACAGAAAGCAAACAAAGGTGTATGTCTCTTCTGCAGAGAATAGCTTTTGGGTATAGATCTCAGGTTTTTTCCCTCTATCCAAATGTTTAAAATCAATGTACAATAAAATCTGCCTTAGATATGGTTTTATAGAATCCACTTGATTTTTTTTCTTAACGTATTTCACCAAATATCACCAAATTGGAATTACATGATCTTGAAACTTCCCTTCTGTAATAACAAAGCTTCCAGAATAATTTTTAGTTTTGTATTTTCTTTTTGGAAACTAGCTTTTGTTAATCTAACTGTAACGCTGTCTGGAATTGTATACGTTTTAATGTACAAATATGAATAAATTAATTCACTTATTTAAACAGGAGGTGAAAATTACTTTCACAACGTAGAGTTGCTTTAGTACCTGCCTGCTACCATCTGAATGCTAAGAGCTTTGTCTTCTTATGAACGGGACCCTCATGTCAGTTTTCAGCCTTGTTACTTTGCTCAATCCTCTGACTAAACCTCATGTAGCCACTGTCTTTCTCCTTCCACTGTCCTAGACTGGTAAAAATTGAGTGAGCGAATACATGAGGCTCAGGTGTCAGCTTAAGTGTAAAGGACCCTTCAGTGCTTTTCTGGCCAAGCACGAATTTGCTGCAGTTGGAATTCCAGAGCTCACAGTGTAAGGTGATTCAAAATTTACAAGGCAAGTCATTCTCTGTAAAGTCATTCTCTGTACACTGGGTACAATAATGAGGAAACTTCAGTCAACAGCCAGCTGATCTTTTTATGTTGACTGTAAGGAAAGGCACATCTACAGTTGCTGCTTGTATAAACTTAAGGGAGAATGCAGCCAACGCCTTAGCAGTACTTTATTGTGCACATTTACATTTTCTCTGCATTAGTGGATCGGAGGCTCTTGAAATCATGACATTCATGTAGCAAATTCTTCAACAATAATACCCTTTCACTTTTCACCACAATATATACAGTTAATGCTAACCTGTGGTAAAAGCAAGTTACAGCACTGCAGAAATGGATATATAAATTATACACAGAACTTGTACATGAGGAATTAATCAAATTGCATACTGTTTAATGGGAGAAAATTACAAGAAATATGGCTACAACTTAACTTATAATGGGAAATTCAAAATATACTTTTGGTATATAAAATCATGTACAATTAAAATTCCAGTGAAGTGCTTTTTTTTCTTTTTTTTCTTTCTTTTTTTTTTTTTTTTTGCTTGAAACTACAATGTAGTGGAATAGATTATTGCATAACTTGCCTTGGCAACAGATGTAGGCTGCCAAGAACCACAGAAACTGTCCTCAAATTAGCTATTGCCTTTCTTAAACCCTTCTTTCTAACACCTCATTTCTTTCTTCTCCTTAAATCAACATCTCTACACACCTCACTTTCAACTTCTATTCAGTCCTTCATTTTTTCTTCTAGACTGACCTGGGCAGACTTAAAATTATACAGTATTACCCTTACCAGACTCTTACCTTTCTCAACTATTGCACTTTCATCCATGCAGACATACAAATCCTTTAAGCTGCTGCAAGTTCACTGTTAATTGTTCTGTCCAGAAAGGACAAACCGCAGTGGTTATTATTAGGGGAACCTTTACATTAGTAGAGGTAACACTGGTGCTGTAGGCTGAATAATAAGAAAATATAACACCAAGTGAACTATCGTGTAGGGGCTTTGAAAAGTGTACTAATACTGTTGTTTGGTTAGTTTCTCTAGCTTGATTCTAAATGCAGATGCTAGACTATGTAAAGCTTTTGTTGGGGTTGCCTAAACTAGGATGTAAGTGCAAAAGCACATTAACACTTAATCCTAGCCTTTGTAAAGCTTTGGTGAGTACTTACTGATGAATGGAATTGGTGAAGATCTTGTGTCCTAGAACCCAAAGAGTCGATGAGTAATGAGAGAACTCAACATTCACTGGTATTGAACAAAACATCCAAAATCCTGACATGGGACAGTTACTGTGGGGTTGGAGCAAACTGGACAGCTTATCTGCACTTCGCAAATGGCACCTCTGAACATTTAACACAAGAAAGCTCCTACCACACCGAACTTTAACTCAATACATCGCTTTAGACAACAGTTGGCGGAACACTGTAGGTAGTGGAGATACAGCTCTCCTCATCAGTGGTGGGTCACATAGAACAGGATTCATTTACAAACTGCAGATCTTGAAACTCTTAGATGCTGTCCATTGAACAAGAGAAAGCACCATTAAAACTAAGTATCATAGTTTTATTTCTCCGTGTGAAATGATCAAAAACAATGGCTCCAGTGTATGTTTTAAGTTTCCAGTTACCAGCAAGGTATTGCACTGTTGTACAACTGAATTCAAGCAAGGGTTCGCTGTCTAGGTTTTATTCGTGGATATAACTGTAAAAACAGAATGAAAGTATTAGGCTTTGCATGCTTGACAGCAAATTAAATATAAAATCAAGTTATAACTAAAGGGTACTGATGAGACCTGGGTGTTAAAAAGAAGTGTTTTGGGGGCGTGAGGGCTTTTTTATTTGTTTTTGAGCTACAGCATGTTCTTCGGTGACTTCTGAAAAATTAAACCAGCAATAGCAGGATGCCAAGGGCTGACTTATTCGTGCAAACAGGAGCAAATTGCTCTGCAAATAACTTGGTTCTTTTAGTTGAAGATCCTACGCTAGGTTAGGAGATTCTTTTATGGAAATACAGGAGTTCCCTGTCAAGCCCCCCAAAGAGCTTATTTCACGCTCTCTGTCCACTTGGTGGCCTTCCATTCCTGGACTTTTGTGATAGCAGTGTTACATTTGGCTGAGAACTGCATAAATGACTTGCCTGAAGTTGCCACCTTCAAGGCTTTTTCCCATTTTTAAGTTGTATAAATGTATGTTTATCTTGTGCCAGGTATTAAAAACCTTCCTAAGTATCTTCCCTGGCCAAAGCTTAGGGCTGCCTAATAAAGCCACTACACTTAAACTGCAGAACATTGAGACGATGACCACAGACCCTACTTCAGGAAGAAGTAAAAAACTGAAGGCAGGCGGTAATTCAGCACTTACCCCAAGAAGATTTTTAGGCACATAGCCTTCTTTATCATTGAGGCGGGCCCACCACCACTCTGTTTCGTTGTCATCCTTGCGTCTTAGAATAGTAATGGCATCGCCCTCATGGAATGACAGCTCATCATTATTCTGGGCTTCGTAATCCCACAGTGCATACACCACTCCTTTGTTCATCACTCCCAACTTTTCCTGCACTCCTGTTAACAAGAAGTTAGCACACTAGATGGTAATCTGTTTTTCCCCGAGACTTTTGGTGTGGCTCAAATATTAGTCTCATTATTAACATTTCATACACAATTTTCAGTGGTAGAAACTTCATAATCTTACTTCTATTCAAAGGAGGACAAAAACAGCTTGACAACTGTTTGAGCAAAGCAACTTTATAGAACTGGTGTATGTTTCTCAAAGGCCTCGGTTCTGTACCAGACCTTGCACACTGCATGCAGCACTGCTTGAAGCTTCTGAAAATCTGCACCGTGTCAGAGCCTTAATTAAGCTTATAACCATCTCTGTAAATTAAAGTTTTTTCTGCTCCATCAAGGTACTTTCCTTGCAAAATATGTCTTCGTAACTAAGCACATTCTCTATGTTAATTATTCATAATGCATACACGTTTCTGAAGGTAATCTGCTAAAAATTTGTTGGAGTATTTCTCTCAAGATCCTTGACAACTCACTGGTACTGTGAAAATCTCCCAGTGGAAGCATTTCCTTGAAATTAAACCCAATTAATCTTTAACAATTGTAGCATTAGACAGAGTTTGCAAGTCAAGAAGGAAAGGACTGTGAACAACATAATAATCAAAAGACTGCTATGTTTTTACTATTTTGAAAGAACAGGTGCAGGGCAGCCTGGAGCCCAAGCAGGTGTTTCCTTCAGGTCAGAGTGCCAGAGAAGGGGTGAATTTTAGAAGAGAGAAAACAAGTTTGTAAAGAAGTGTCATAGCTTACCGTACAAGAACTGAGAACACTGGATATAACCTTCTTCCATCTCTTCGCACTTGTCTGCAGCAGTTTCTATATCACTTATAGTTGAAGCAAAAATAGCTGCCCCAGATTCAACCAGCAGTTTACAGAGATGAACACTATTGCAAGAAGCTGCACAATGCAAAGGTGTCCTGAAATAAAGCAAAAATGTAGAAATGAAAAAAAAACCAACCAGGAATCGTAGCTATTTTGTCTTGCAATACAGATTGTCTGTCTGTTTTTAAAGGAAGTTGTTCTTTATAGGATATGCGTGCATTGTTCAAAACATGCCAAATGACTCTGAGTGGATTCCAGCATCGACCTGACTCTAGTAAAGCAAACGTAAAATAGATGTTATGTTATGTTGACTTGCATAGCTTGCAGTGCTGCTGGATATAAAACCAGTATTTTCCAATATTAGGAAATTTGAAAGCCAAGATAAGGTGGGGGAGAAACTGCTCAGCAGCATGGCAAGGTTTCACATCTCCTCCAAACTCTTCACAGGTGCTACATCTACCTGCAAGGCTAGATTCTTCACAAAATCTGTGAATGGATTATGTGAAAATGAAACTTCAATAAATTTCGTCATTCATTATTTAAAGTTTAATTACTTCAGCCTGTGAACAAGAAATGCACCTATGCTTCTAAGTAAAAATAAAATGTACCATAATTTATAATGTGAACATGCTTGCCCGCGAGTTCAACACAATGGAACTTTGTATTGGAGTTTGTTATCATCTCAAAATTAGCAAGTCTTCATTTGCTGGGGACGGAGGAGAAGAAAATGGTTCCCCAAGCAGGTCCCCACTAAATACTGAACTGGCATCAAAACGGCGTTTTTTCAGATGCTAAGTTAAAAATCTTGTCACTTACCACCCATCACTATCTGCTGCATTTACATTTACTCCAAAATCAAGCAGGAACTTCACAATGTGGTGATGACCAGCACACACTGCATTATGCAAAGGTGTAATTCCTTCATCGTTGGGCTTACTGGGATCGTCAACCTATGAAAAACATGAAACAGTTCAGCACTTTTTTTCTCCTAGTATCCAAAGAAGTCCCTTTGTTTGGAAACTCACCTCATATATGATTCTTTGTACAAGATCAAAT